ATGAGAAAATGCCTGTACCTGGGAACCCAACCTCGTTCGCCTTCACTGGTGGGACTCCACGGTCAAGCTGATGGGAGGCTAAGCTTCATGGACCCAAAGCAGAGTAGAGGACAAACAGGACAGGAAGCCGGGGACCGGCACGATGGGCCGCCTGCCCCAGCTCTCTCCTGCAAGCACGACACCGTTCCCAGCCCCTGTCCCCGGCTGGCCGTCCAGCCTTCCCTCGGGGACTCCACTCATGACATCCCGGGTGGCCGCCGAGTCACAGCCCGGGGGGTCAGTAACACCCAGGCATACAGGTGCCTGCCTTCGTTCCCCTCTAGTTGGGGAGACAAACACCAAACACGCATTTACAAAAGGAGATAGTTATGACTTTTGAAAAACTTTGGGAAGGAAGTGAACTGGGTGAGTGGGGAGAGAGACTGGCAGGAGGAAGTGTGAGTCTGGATTAGGGGTGAAGGCCCGTGTGCCAGGGAGACGTGGGTTTGAAGCCTGAGGGGAGAGAAAGGCCAAGGGAAGAGCCTTCTGGGAGGAGAGGCAGTGGTTATACTCATGCCTTTGGGGGAGGAACAGACTGGACCCCAGGGGGCTGCAGCCCAGTGACTAAGAGCAGATGAGAAGAAACTGGCCAGGTGAGTGGGGACCAGATCCCCAAAGGCCTTGTAGGTCAATGTGAGAAGTTTGGATTGTGTCTTTCTAATTGTTTTTTTTTTTTTAATCCTCACCAGAGGACATTTTCCCATTTTTTATTCAGATAGAGTGGGAAGGAGAGAGAGGAAGAGAGAGAGGGAGAAATATCTATGTGAAAGGGACACATCGAGAGGCTGCCACCTGCATGACCCAATCAGGGCGGGGACAAACTGCAACCGAAGTACATGCCCTTAGCAGGAACCAAACCTGGGTCTCTCTGGACCGCAGGCCGACAGTTTAACCACTGAGCCAAACTGGCTAGGGCTGGATTGTGTCGTTCTAAGTGCGCCAGTATCTCATGCCCCTCTTCCCTGACAGAAGGGGACAGGGCCCAGGTGGTGGGGCTGAAGAAGCAGAGACAGAGGACAAGTAGTTCAGGACGAGGCTGCCTGCTAGCCCTGCTGTGAAGACCAGGGTCTGTCATGCACTTTGCACCTAACAGTCAAAGTGGTGACAAAGACAAAGAATCATAGACAGTCACTAATACCTTGACCTTGATTTTTGCAAAAGGTTATTTTGAGAGTTGGTTGGAAGGGAGGCCACGTGTTTCACGAACTTCACCATGTGGCCCCTTCCTGTTTAGCATGTGAAACGGCTTCGAAACATGTGCAGAATAACTCAAAGGAAGCGAACCCCAGACCGATCCAGGCGCAGACGCCAAGGGGCCGCCCCGCGACTCTCCTGCCAGCATTTGGGAGGCTCAGAAAGCGACCTTTCCCTGGTCACCCCTGGGCTGGCTCGCTGTGGCTCTGCCTTCCGGGGGGCAGGATGCCCGAGGAAGGCAGGGATGGCGTTCCTCCTTCTCTGCAGTGCCCCCGCTCCCTACTGCTGCCGAGGGGACAAAAGCGCGGGGATCTGGGGGTCACCTCCCGAAGTCTCCTGAGGTCTAGCTTTGGGCTGATACAGTGAATCCATCTGCAGGGACCCACGAAATGGAGGCCGCCCCAGTGGCCCGGCTCTGTCACAAACCTAAATCGAGGTCAGCCTACACTTGGGAAACACCTGTCACAGAAACCTGACTCGCACCGATCACCATCTCCCAACTCAGCTTCAGCTCGGTTACCGGACCCTGGAAAACGGGTCCTCTTCTAACTCCACAGACTCGCCCTGGCCCAGCACCCCTCGGGAAGAGGCTCCGCTGCTTGGGGGGCGCTGAGCGTCCCCAGCTCAGTACCCTTTCCCCCTGATGAAAGGAATGAGTCAGCGGGTTCTGTCACTTGCCAGGGCTCAGAAGGCTGAGGCAGCCTGAGCCCGGGGGACAAGCTGGGACAAAATCTCAGGTGCTGCCCTGGCCAGTTTGGATCAGCAGTTAGAGCTTTGGCCCACGGACCAATGAGTCACGGGTTCAATTCCGGTCAAGGGCACGTACCTCGGATGAGATTCGTTCCTGGCCCTGGTTGGGGTCCTGCGGGAGGCAACCACTCGATGTGTCCCTCTCACGTCGATGTTTCTCTCTCTCTCTCTTCCTCTTTCCCTCCCACTCTATCTGAACAAAAATGAAAAAAATATCCTCAGGTGAGGATTAAAAAAAGAAAAAAATCGTAGTTGCTAATGAAAATATACTAGCCAATATTTTTGGACTAAGCTTCCAAAAATGTTATATTTATTAATCCACTTTCAGATGTATCATTTGGAGGCCTACGGCAGGCTGGCTAGGGTCACGTAATCACAGTCTCCAGCTCCCAGGTAGATTTCTAGAAATAACTGGATGGGAAGTTGGGCCAAACACAGCAGAATGGCAGGGGTCCTGGAAGGCCGGCTCAGGAGAGCAGACTGTCTCCGAAAAGCCATTCATATGAAGTTAATACATGATAGAAATGGCGTGATAATTTTACTTTTAGTTCTTTTTATTTTTTGGTGGTATGTGCCCCTAGCAGGAACCGAACCCAGGACTCTCTGGTCCACAGACCAACGCTCAACCGCGGAGCCAAACCGACCAGGGCTGGCGTAATAATTTTAGAGGAAGGATGTTAAACACGTGCTTCATTTAAGAATAGGTTTCAGCCCTGGTCGGTTTGGCTCAGCGGTTAGAGTGTCAGCCTGCAGTCCAGAGAGACGCAGGTTCAGTTCCTGCTAAGGGCACGTACCTCAGTTGCAGTTTGTCCCCGGCTCTGGTTGGGTCGTGCGGGTGGCAGCCACTCGATGTGTCCCTTCACATCGATGTTTCTCTCTCTCTCCCTCTCTTCCTCTCCCTCCCGCTCTATCTGAATAAAAAATGGAAAAATGTCCTCGGGTGAGGATAAAAAAATAAATAAATAAAATGTTTTCAATTCTCTGTCCTCTCCACCAGAGGTGTAAGGGTTTTGTCCACGAGACTATTCTCTGGATGTCCTGCAGTTTAACTTAATTCTGACACCATCTGCCTGGAGGTAGCATCAGATCCCACAAAGTGAAGGGCTCAGTTCCACCGACCACCCTCCACTTCAGGTGCTAATCTCAAGTCTAGATGATCACCTGTGTTTCCGACTCACTGGCTATAATTGGGAGGTTCCCATGACCTAATCCTTGGGTTTGATTACCTTGCTGAGTGGCTCACAGAACTCGAAAAGACAGCTTACTAGAGTTCTAATTTATTATAAAAGGACACAACTCAGGACAGCCGATGGAAGAGATGCCCAGGGAAAGGTATGAGGCGAAAGGGCATGGAGCTGGCATGCCACCCTCCCAGCACCTCCACGAGCTCACCAACCCAGAAGCTCTCGAACCCTGTACTTCAGGGAGTTTTATGAAGGTTTTATTACATAGGCATGATTGACTAGATCACTGGCCAGTTGGTGATTGACTCCATCTGCAGCCAATCTCACCTCCCTTGAGGTTGGGGGCGGGGCTAAAGCGCCAACCCTCTAATCACATGCTTTTTTTCCCTGGCAACCAGAAATCTCATTGGCATAAACTCAGATGTGGTTGAAAAGGGTTTGCTGTGGATAAATAAAACACCTCTTTCTGTATTATCACTTGGGAAATTCTAAGTTTTTAGGAGCTCTGTGCCAGAAACAGGGACGGAGAGCAAATATGTATATTAGAAATCACTGTATCACATTCACTAACTTGAAGAAGTCTGGACCTCAGGGAATGTAATCAAAGACATGCCAAGGAAAATCACCCATGCGCTTCATCAGAACAGCTGATTAAAACACGCGGTACCGAGAGCGCGGTAGGACCGGCACTGGCATCCAGTGACGGTGGACGTGGAAATCCTGACAAACTTTCTGGAAGCTATTTGGCGGTACGTATTAACAATCCTGAAAGTAGTCACATCTTCTGGCCAAGTAATTCTTGGTCTTAAGGTCTATCCTAAGGCAGCAATCAGAAACGTAGTCAACGATTCCTACACAGGCACCTTCATCACAGCATTACTTGGACAAAAAATGGAAAGCAATGTAAATGCTCGGCCTCAGAACTAAGACATCGCAAGATGACGAAACTCTATGCAGCCGTTAGGAAAACGAAGTCTCTCTGGATATGGCATTATAGGCAATTGCTCTCTTCTTTTTGCATTAAAAACATTTCCAGAATTTCGTGTTATATTTATTTAAAAAGTGCAGTGATACAACGAATAAACATAAACAACCTCAGTATTTAGATCAGGGAGTACACTGGAAAGAACCTGGAGAAAGGAAAATATATGCAAATTGAAAGCAGAATGTCACATGAACTGATTCTGAGACCCAGGACTTCTGGAGAGGTGGGTGCAGGGAAGAAGGGAAAAAGGGATCATACATATACATGTATTTTTCTCCATTTCTCAGAGAAGCCTTTGAGTTTACAGGTGAAGAGCATAATGAAAGTTCCTAGGGGAACAGCCCACATTAAACACACACACACACCTTTGACGATCTGCACCAACATACCTAAATCTCACCATGAGTTGCCATCAAGGCTGAGAAGCTGTGGAGTCTAATCACGGCGGCACTGAGACTGCCTTAGCCCCTGTGATATTCTTTCTGAGTCAAGAACACAGGTCTTTGGGACAACCTTAATCCACAAGGTGTGTTTCCAGCATCTGCTGTGCTTCTGTCATTACCTTTGAGTAACAGTCTAGGACTGAGTCCGTTTGTCCGCCTTGTTCTGGTGAACCATCCACCTCCCCAGATGTCTGTTCAGACTTTTGCCAGCCCCTGCCACCCGTGGTCACCCGTGTTTCTAGCCAGTGGTCCTGACATTACCCTCACTGTTTCGGAGGCCAGAGCTACACAGGGTGATGCTGAAGGGAGGGGAGGCGAGCAGGGAGCACGGAGTGAAATGTCCCAGAAGAAAACAGGCTCATGTTACGGAGTGGCAGGCATCTGGTCTGCAGGGTCGGTACTCACCCAAAGAAGATGCAGAACCCACAGCAACACTCATAAAACACAGGAGCAGGCACTCGGGTCGGGTGACTGTTCTTTCTGGCTGGCCGCTAAGGTCAGGCTCCAGAAGCGGGGCTGCGGAGCCCGAACTGGCAGCCCCGGAGCGTCCTGAGCTAGTGCCCAGCCTGCGTTTGCAAGGAGAAGTACCTCCTAAGTAAACAGCTCTCTGAACTTTGGTCCATTTGTGCTGAGGTCACTCTCAGCTGATTTCACTTTCATTTCTTAACTTGCTGATCGTGGCTGTGACTTCTCAGAAAGCAGGCGTATAAACAGTGCTGCTGCTCCCGATCACGCACTTTCCCCAAACTGGAGCCAGCCAACCAGCTGACTTTAAGACCAGGTAAGTGTCTTGACTGTATCACACAACAATTCCAGGAAAGAAACTGATCGAGACGTTCTCAAACCTCCGAATGATTTAAACCCCAAGAGAAACCCAGCCAGGAGTCATAGTTAGAAGGGGCTTTCACGGTCCTCTGATCCAAGCTCCCAGACTCAGGTCACTCACTGGGAAGCAGCCATACCATTTTGTCCCCTACTTTTCAGAAATTAACTTTGTAGGATGCCTGGGCTTCTCTGGGCCCAAGGGATTCTCATGGGGGCGTCCAAGCTGGAGCAGCTGGGACATCTCTTTCAAAATAAGAGCAGAACGAGGCTTTTATTTGGAAATCACCGGGGATCCTAGCCAGAGTTTAAAAACTGCTTACTTTGCTCACATGACCATTTGGAAATTCCAAGTTGGGTTAAGCTTAGTTATTACCTTATAATATTACTGGATCATTCAGGGTTTCTCTTCCCCTCCCCCAAAGTGAGTTCTTTGATCGGCTACATTTTTCCCCCTTTGCGGTTCTTTTAAACTCAAACCCTAGAAAGCGTTGATGTAACCTAAGAGAAAGCGAGGGTAGAGGCCTTGGTATCAGGGGGCTCTGCTAGAGATTAGCAAATTGTTTAACCTCTCTGGGCATCAGTGTCTCATCTGCAAAGTGAAAACAAAACCTACTTTGCATGGCTCTTGTGGAAATGGGAGATAATGTTTGCATATGCTCAGTACAGTACTGGGCACACAGGAATGGTAGCTGTTTCTCTCTCTTTTTAAATTAAAAAAATTATTTTTTTTCTTTATTGATTTTAGAGAGAGAGGAAGTAAGAGGGAGAGAGAGATAGAAACATCGATGAGAGAGAACATTGGCCGCCCCCTACATGCCCCCCATTGGGGATCGAGCATATGCCCTGATCGGGAATCGAACCAGTGACCTCTTGGTGCATGGGTCGACGCTCAACCACTGAGCCACACCAAGGGCACGGTAGCTGTTATTATTAAAAGCATGATTTCAAAATATCTAGTTTAGCCTTCATAACAATGTCTTCAAGGCAGAGACAAAATTAACATTTCAGCACTAATGCAAACTGTTACACTGCAAACAGAACACAGGTGGGTGAAGGGACGCAATCTAGAAGAGATGGGAATATATATTTTAAAATTTTATTAAAAATTATAATGCATATTCATTTTTAAAGAGTGTAGCCATCCCACACTCTGCCTTTCTTCTCCAGAGGCCAGGATTTTCACCTGTTTCAACCGATTCTTTAGGTACTTACTTCAGTTCTCTAAATAACATGCTTCTATTGGTACTTCTTGAATTTTCAGTTTTGGGTAAAATCTGACTCTCAATTATAGAAGATAATTTATCTTTCTTCTCCCCGACTCCATGTCACGTCCTATCTCCCTCCTCCTTCCAAACTGGTTATAAGTTTGAGTAAATCGACACTCAGTGTCTATAATAGTAATTACGTAAATACTATACACAGTAGCCGAGCCATGTGAAAAATTATGATTTTTCTTCTTTCCTGTCTGCCTTAGAGAGAGTTACCTTAATCTTTTGTTTGGCCCTGGCCAGTTTGGCTCAGCGGTTAGAGCGTTGGCCTGCGGTCCGGAGAGACCCAGGTTCGGTTCCTGCTAAGGGCACATACTTCAGTTGCAGTTTGTCCCCGGCCCTGGTTGGTCGTGCGGGTGGCAGCCACTCGATGTGTCCCTTCACGTCGATGTTTCTCTCTCTCTCTCTCTCTCTCTCTCCCTTCCTCTCTCTCCCTCCCACTCTATCTGTACAAAAAATGGAAAAATATCCTCGGGTGAGGATAAAAAAAAAAAAATCTTTTGTTTGGTCGGATTTCAATGTACTTAATAGTAATCCAACGCTCAAACCTTCATCAAATCTTTTTTTTTTTCTCAAGAAATTCGTATGGCTAGTTTGTTATCTCTTCCTGAGAAAGGCTACCCCAGTGCCTCCCAACCGGCGCCAGCCTGGGCCGAGGGCCTTGCCACCCGACAGGGTCACTGGGGAATCTCCGCCACCACGCTCTGGGGGTTCCCTTGGCCTCTATCCCATGTTGGATCGATTTCAGGCATCAAAGGCTTTTGTTGACTTAGAGTTTTTCTCTACCTTTAAACATGATTTGTCAAAATTAGATAGAGTGTAGAATTTTAGGTTAAAAATAATTCACCTTTATAACTGTGAAAGCCTTGTTCTTTCTATGCCATCCAGCTTCCATGCTATTGGTGAGAAGTTTGAAGCCGTTTTGCTATGTAGCTTCCAAAAGAGTCTCCTCTCCAATTTCATCCTTGCAGCTTTGTCTTAAAAAAATAAAAATGTTGCCTGGCCAGTGTGGCTCAGTGGTTGAGGGCTGATCCATGCACCAGGAGGTCATGGGTTCGATTCCCGGTCAGGACACATGCCCAGGTTGTGGGCCCGATCCCCAGTGGGGGGCATGCAGGAGGCGGCCAATCGATGTTCTCTCTCATCGATGTTTCTATCTCTCCCTCTCCCTTCCTCTCTCTCTAAAATCAATCAATCAGCCAATACATAAATAAAAATGTTATTTCAGTGGGTTTTTGAGGAGCAAAATTAAATGTGTCCAGTTTGCCATTTGAACTGGACATTTAAAATCTTTTTTAAAAAACCTTAGGTGGGCTATTCTGTCTCTTTGACTGGTCCCCTCTGGCAACAGAGCCTCTGGCTAAGCTGGTTGCTCTTACCAAGCTATCAGCCTCCTCTTACTTGCTTGCCACCCAAATCTCCATCTCTTTTGACAACACCCTTAGTTTTAAACTTCCCCATGCTCTGTTCCAAGCAAGTCCTTTTGTGTGGGGAGAACATCAGAGTTCTGTTTTTAGGGCATGTCTCTCCTGGGGGGCCAGACACCTGAGCTGTGCAGCGGAGGGAGAGAGCGCCTGTCTCACGCGGTGGGGATCGTCTGGCCGACATCACACGCCCCACCAAATGAGCCTGACCAAACATAGCAGGCTAATTTTTAAGTTGATGATTTTGTATGTCCCGCGAATGATGTAATAAATATCCAAATGGCCCTCGGCGGAAAAAAGGTTCCGCACCCAGGAAGTGACACTACTTTTGAGCAAGGTGCTGAGTGGGGCAGTGGCTTCTGGTCTTCTCAGTCTGCCTCGCCCTACACGGAGCCTTCACCCATGACCAAGCTCGGGCAAAGGACAGAGATCTGTTTTTCTTGGCCTGGTGATTCTGGGAAGAATCTTTGTCATCTGGTTGGGTGGAGGAAGGGAGGCCCTGACTTCTCGGCTGCGCTTGGCTGGAATTTAGCCTCTGCAATGTAGAGGCAGGACCTGAGAAATGCTAGCAGCCAGCCCCTCGTGGGAGAAGGGTGAGGGAGTGTGACCCCTGTGTTCCGGGCCACATGTCATAGACTCTCACTGCTCTTACTGAGATTTCGTAGATTTTCTAGATCGAATGTTTCTTCATATGTTGTATGTCCTTAGGATAATTTCCAGAGACTTTTTAAAAAATAAACTAGCTGTGTTATTCTTCCTGGCAGTGGGTGGCAGGTGTTGTTGTTTGGTGTTTTGTTTTCTTAAAACCAAAAAGGTTTATTGACATAAATATTAAGCTGCTTTTACAGGTTTCTAATAACAGATACCTTGAAATCGTCTCTTTTGGTTTCAAATATCTCCACCTGGTTTTGTAAAATGTCAGTGGTGGTTTAAAATAATAGTTAAAACACAACACAAATTCTAGGGTGCTTGATGAGATGGAAATAACGTATTGTAATTCGATTAAAACCACCTATATTTAAAACCCTCTTTGGAATTAAAATTCTACCAAACATCATTAAGAGCAAACAAAGAATACAATTCAGTGACAGCAGTTAAACTAAATAGAGGTCAATCTAAATTACTTTTAAAAAGAGAAAACAAAAAACAGATGTCCTACAGCGGGTGTGAACCTTCAGGGTTGGCTGCTTTGAAATCTGAATGGAACCAGCATGTGACCCTGGATCTCTGGCCTCAGGACATAACCCTCCTCCCTTTGGGAGGGGAGGTGCCATCATCTGCGTGCTCATCTTTAATGATCCGTACCTTTGCAGCCTGCAGCAGGGTTTCAGTCAGAGACTCCAGGGGCTCTCTTAATCATTTACAGCCTGTTTCGTTCATGTGTGTTACTTTCCAAGCAGGTTTTCCTGGTCCTTCAGTTCTCACATTCTTTCTGTCCCCCATTGTCTTGGGGAAAGTGGGCTCTCCTGTAGATGAGTGTTTTCCTCCAAATCATGCATTATTTCCCTCGAAAGTTGTTCTACTTTTTTTTTCTCCCTGAGATGCCTTTGGCATTAGTTAGTTGGGATTGGAAGGCTTTTGATCCACCTTTGACTGACGTCTGTCCTTGGCAATGCCATTATGTCTTCTATGACAGGTGACCTGAGGGCATCATAGGCTCTGTGGAAACCCTTTAATCTCTTCATCGACAAAATATTCTTCAAGCTGGGCAGAAACGCATTTGGTGTGTTCTTTATTCCACCTTAAAAGTATGTTGGCTTCTGACTAAAAACAAAACAAAACACAGCAGCAGACACAGAAGGGAAACCCACAGGGCTTTGTCCCCAGCGGTCAGCTAACATCACCAGAGCCCGGCTCGAGGACAAGCTGGACAGGTGGCGTGGTGGCAGTTGACGGCCCTCCCCGGCTCCAAGGGCACCGAAGCTCGGCTGCTGGTTGTTAGTACCCTGGGGACCAAGACTGCCTGCTTGGGGCCCTGTGGACTGCTGTGCACACAAGTGCCTGGCAACCGGCCGGAGCATCAGTGGGCGGGGCCAGTGGGGCCTGGCCGAATACAGCGCCGCACTCGCTGTTGTGCTCTCTGCCTGCACACTTAGACAGCGATATTACCTGCGCCCCGGGGCGACAGAAAGGCGGGCAGAGGGGATAGCCCACGAGCTCTGGCTACTCTAGGCCCCACCGGACACTACACAGAACTAGAGGCGGAAAGGATCGTCATGCTGTGTGACCTATTCTCTGCACACAGCATGTGAGGCCTCGACGGTGAGGCATGCTGCCCGAGAGGACTCCTGTGCCACGTTCCCGGGTGAGGCTCCTTCCTCTGACCGGAATTTCCTTTTGTAGCTGCAGCCGGATCCTGTTTACAAAGGTTACAGGGACGTCCCTCCCTGCAGGCGGGCTTGAGCCTGTGTTTGGTCAGTGCAGACAAGCCGGGACAGAGAAGCAAAGGTACTACCTCACCGATCAGGTTGTCAATGATAAGAACTCAGGAGACATCAAGACGAACTGTCGATGTCTTAATATTTCATGTATTTTCAGTGGAGCCTGGTCATAGTGCAGTGCAAGTGTTCTCAGGTGGCGTGACTCAGTGACCCAGGCTCTGTGGCCAGGATGTGGCCCGTCCTCGGCAGTTACCTTCAGAATGGTGGTTACCTCCGCAAAGGGACTGTGTGCTTCTCCCAGCTGGATTTGCCACCTGTTGTTTCTTTAAACAAAACCTCACGCCCCCAGTATCTCTCTAGGACACTCAGGCCCAGGCCACAGCCTCTGTGGTCTACCCGCAGGGCCTGCCACAAACAGTTCTCTTCACACAGCCCCTGGGAGAAAGGATGAACAGTCGGCAGAGGCCGGTCTGAGGGTCCCGGAGGGCACCACCGTTTGGGCCAATGGTCCTCCTGTGCATGTGGGGAACAGAAACTCTTACCGGGCTTGGTGATGAGGGGCGAAGATGGCCAAATTCTGAGTAAAGTGATCACTGTTTACAATTTATGTCAAAGAGAAATTGCCAATTGAGAGTTTATAACATGTTTCTGAGAGTCAAGAATCTAACTATGGTAAAGAAGATCTTTGTTTTGGGAGAAAAAAATGACTTAAGCAAACTCCTCTTATATGCAGAGAGGGTGCTCACCCTTCTGGGGTAAAACTGAAACATAACTTTTTTGGTGGTGGCGGGCAGATTATTTTTTATCTTAAAGCCTAATTATAAGAGAACGATTTATTTTTAATTTTTTTTAACCTCACCTGAGAACATTTTTGCATTTATCTTCAGATAGAGCGGGAGGGAGGAAGGGAGGAAGAGAGAGAGAGAAACATCCATGTGAGAGAGACACATCAAGTGGCTGCCACTCATATGACCCCAACTGGAGCCGGGGACAAACTTCAACCGAGGTACATGCCCCTAGCAGGAACCGAACCTGGGACTCTCCGGTCCATGGGCCGATGCTCTAACTGCTGAGACAAACTGGCCAGGGCTATAAGAGAGCAATTTAATGACATCAGGATAACAGCCCCAGAGTTAGGGTGTGTCTTTTGTTCCATCGTACGAAAGCCTTTCTGCCTTAGTAGCATCGGTGCCAACTCCAGAACCCAGGCTCCACCAGGCATCACTGTTGCCACGTGTAAGGAGCCAAGGATGATGAAGAATCTGGGTCGTGTCTGCACAGAGGATGGGGTCATAGCAGATACTCAGTCCTTTCACAGTAGCACCTCAATTCTTTGCTTTGTTCTTTTGCAGACATAGAATTCAATGAATATAGAATGCAAAAATGTCCCTTCTCCCATTCCTATTCAACACCATACTGGAAGTCCCAGATAATCCAATAAGACAAAGAAATAAAAGGTATACAGCCTGGAAAAGGAAGAAGTAAAACTATATTTGTTCACAGAGAACAGGATTGTCTATGTAGAAAATCCCAAGCAACCAAAAACAAAAACAAAAACAAAATAGACTGCTGTAAGTAATAAGCAATTATAGCAATGTTGCAAGATACAAAGTTAACATACAAAAGTCAATCACTATCTTAGGTACCAAGCAATGAATATTGGAATTTGAAAATGAAAACACAATACCATTTACTTTTGCCTTGTTTCTGATCTTAGCAGGAAGCATATAATTTCTCATCATTAAGTACAATGTTAGCTGTAGATGTTTTGGTAGGTGTTTAAATGAGTGTGGGATTTTGTCAAGTGCTTTTTCTGCATCTATTGATGTGATCATATCATTTTTCTTCCTTATCTGTTGATGTGATGGGTTGATATTTAAATATTGAGCCAGCCTTGCATACCTAGAATAAAGCCTAGTTGATGTGGTATATACTTCTTTTTTATACATTATTGGATCCTATTTTCTAATATTTTGTTGAAAAATTTTGCATCTATATTCATGAGGGACATTGGTCTGTAAATTTCCTTTTTTTGTGATATCTGTCTGGTTTTAGTATTAAGGTAATGCTGGCCTCATAGAATATGTTAAGAAGTATTCCCTATTCTATTTTCTGGAAGAGATTGTAGAGAATTGGTATAAATGTCTTTAATTTTTGGTAGAATTCACCAGTGAACCCATCTGGGCCTGGTCTTTTGACAAGTTAGTATTTATTGATTCAATTTCTTTAATTGGTGTAGACCTATTCAGATTGTCTATTTCTTTTTGTATAAATTTTGGCAGATTTTGTCTTTCAAGGAATTGGTCCATTTCACCTAGGTTATCAAATTTGTGCACAGAGAACTATTCATAATATTCCTTTTTATCCTTTTAATGTCTGTAGGATCAGTATTGGTGGCCTTTCTTTCATTTCTGACATTAGTCTTCGTGTCTTTTTTTTCCTTAACATTGGTAGATTATAAATTTTATTGACAATGCAGTACTATTCACCACTAAAACATGAGCTATCAAACCATTAAAAAAGTGATAGAATTTATATGCATATTATTAAGTGAAAGAAGCCAGTCTGAAAAGGCTACCTACTATATGATTACAACTATATGGTATTCTGGAAAAGGCGAAACTATGGAGACAGTATAAAGATCAGTGGTTGCCAAAGGTTAGAAGGTAGAGCACAGAGAATTTTTGGGGCAGTGAAACCACTCTGTATGATTCTATGATGATGAATATATTTCATTATACATTTGTCCAAACCCATAGAATGTACACCAAGAGTAAACCCCAATGTAAATATGGACTTTGGATGCTAACAACGTATCAATGTAGGTTCATCAGCTGTGAGAAATGTACCATCATTCTGATGGGCTATGGTGATCCTGGGGAGGCTCTCCATATGTGGGGGCCAGGGAGTACATGGGAAATCTCTGTACCTCCTGCTCAATACTGCTATGAACCCCAAACTTCTCTAAAACATAAAGTCTATTAAAAAAACAAACAAAAACGTAAGTGTTACTCTTTACTATCCCAATGAGCTCTCTTTGAACCCTCCTTGGCTACTGAAAATATTGTTGAGAGTAGACTACCCAACCGCAGCCTTTCCAGGCCCATCTTGCTGCCGTGACCTAATTAGGCTTGTGGCCTGTGCCTTTAACGTACCTCTCCTGCCTGATCCTCATTCTTCTCGGCCTCTCCCATAATGGACGCCGTTGTTGACCTGCGGTTCAGGCCAGGTTAATGCTCTTTTCTCACTACCACATCCATTTTGCCTTATTCACTTGACATCCCCGTTTCCCTGCGGTGTCCTGCGGGGATCTCCCCAGCTCACTGTCTGATGGGTGACAGTCTGGGGGGTGCTCCACTCGCTTCCACGTGAACACGCGGCGGGAGCAGTACACTCACCGGCTCTGAAGGAAACTGCGGTCTCATCGTTCACATTGCAGCTACGTCTTGAGAAGTAAAATGACTACTTAAGACCCTAATCTAGGCATTTCAGTGCCATTTTGTGCCACACCTTTGCTCTGTGCAATTAGCCTCTTTTAATACATAGTGTTTTGTTCTAATTGTTTGAATCTTAGCACTTTACTATGCACTGTCTTCTGTAATTGTTCAGCCACGCATGCTTTTCATATACAGTTATGTAGTAATCTTCCAGTGGGGAGCTATGTCTTTTTTAAAATCACCAGTGGTTTCTAGCACTTTACAGATATAACAGAAATTCGGGGAATGTTTGTTGACTGATTCATTCAAGTGCCTGGTAGGGACATTAAAGTCAGTGACAGTACAGGTCATTCCTTCCTGAGTTCTTAGCTTTTTTGGTGTTGTATGAATACATCATTGTGAAAGAAATCAAAAGTTCAGAGATTTTTTTTTCCCCCATCTTGACAAAAAATAAATATAAACACCTAAGAAAATTTTAAATCTTCTATGTTTTCTCTGGATTTTTTTTCTTTTCCTATTTTTTTTAAATCCTCACCTGAGGATATTTTTACATTTATCTTCAGACAGAGTGGAGGGGAGAGAAAGAGAGAGAGAGATATCGATGTGAGAAAGATACATCGATTGGTTGCCACCCACACGACCCCAACCAGGGCCTGGGACGAACTGCAACCAAGGTACATGCCCTTGGCCAAGATCGAACCCAGGACTCCCTGGTCCGCAGGCTGACGCACTAACCACTGAGCACCAGCCAGGACTGGGTTTCTTGTTCTGTCTCTGAAAGCTGTTTCCACGAAAGAAGGTGGGGATCTAGAACCTGTGGTTTCATACGTGTAGGGGAGAAACAGTGACCGAGAGATGGGGAGGGCTGTTTTTTCTCTTTCTTTTCTTTTTAATATGTAAGCAAATGTCATCTTTCTTCCTTTTTCAGAGCAGCACAAAGCTAGGTTACTTCGGCCTTCGGAACTTCAAATGGAAGGTGGGCTGTCCGTCATTCTGATTTGGTTGCTCATCCTTATTCAGAGTTAGATGGGGTGTCATCTGCGTGGACCTTTGCTGGTTCGAGTCTTCAGCTCCAAAACTCTTGCTGCTTCTGATAATATGCGCATCCTTCTCAAAACCGGAGGAAGCGGTCTCCCACCTGCTGCTGCTGGGTCTCATGTCTTTAGTCTTCATGGCCTTGATGCGAGAACGAGTTTGCCTTTTCTTGTGTCCTTTGAGGGGTGACAAGCTTTCGCGTGACCTCTGGGACACAGACTGGAGCCATTCTGAAGAGTTTACCAAACGGTTCCTTTGGCTTATAAAAGGGGGGTGTCTGGGAGGTGCCCAAGATGCGCTGTATCTCTTTATGTTTACATAAGTAGCTGGATTTAGTCTAGAAAAGAAATAAAATGCATGAGTTTTTGTCCAGCAGGTATCTGAGGTATTTGTAATAGTATAAGTCTATTTTTTTCCCTTTGGTGAGTTCATCCTCCCTGAAGACTTTTGCCTCTGCACCTCTGGTCATTCACAGCATTACTCCAGTTCTGTGTTTCTAAATGTCTCAGGCTATGTTTGTTTGACACCTGCCCTGACCCCAGGCTCTCTGATATCACAGTTATCTGGGCCTCAGTTCCTCACTTACACATCGAGTGGAAGGAAATGTTCTCTACATTTTCACAAATCTAATTTGTTTATTCTATTAGAATGGACTCACTGTACACACTGTATGTTTGTTTCTACGGTCAGTAAAGAGATCACTGTAAGTCCAAGAAGGGGTAGTTTTCCTCAAGAGAGGGAGGTTTTGTATATTCCAAGTTGCAGCCACTTCAAGTCTCTCAGTTTTCTTTAGAATTTCATTTTTTATCACAAAATCCCAATATATTTTTTTATTTATTTTTAGAGAGAGAGGAAGGAAGAGGGAGAAAGAGACAGAAACATCGATGAGAGAGAACATCGATCGGCCGCCTCCTGCACGCCCCCCACTGGGGATCAGGCCCACAACCTGGGCATGTGCCCTGACCGGGAATCGAACTGGTGACCTCCTGGTACATGGGTCGATGCTCAACCACTGAGCCACACTGTCCAGGCCCAACTATATTTTTAATTAAAACTTTAATTTGGGAAGTACAATAATATAATCAGGATATAGTGAATAAGATTGTCAAGGTACAGAACAGTTCCCTCCATGTTTCCCTTTATAGACATATCGACTTTCCTCCTTGCCCAGCCCCCCTCCTTAATTCCAGGCCATCACTAACCTGTTGTCTAAATTATATAATTTTGTTACCTCAAGAATATTCTATAAGCAGAATCATAGGTGTGTAACCTCTGGGGCTGGCTTCTTTCACCCAGCACAGTCCTCTGGAGATTGATCCGGGTGGCTCTGTGTATCAGCCGTTCACTCGTTGTTGCCGAGTAGAGTCCACAGCCCGGGTGTACAGTGTGTTTAATAATTCCTCCGTCGAAGGATATGTGGGTTGTCCTCAGTTTGTGGTTGTCACAAATAAAGCTGCTATAAACATTCGTGTACAGGTTTTTGTGTGAACATAAGTTTTCATTTCTCTGGGATCAATGCCCAGAAGAGCAACTTCTGGGTCATATGGTAGTTCTAGTTATAGACAAAGAAACTGTAACACTGTTTTCCAGAGTGACTGTACCACTTTACATTGCACAGCAACGTACGAGCGATCCGATGTCTTTGCATACTCATCTACATTCAGTGTTATCACTGTTTTTCATTTTAGTCATTCTGATAGTGTGTAGCTATCTCATTGTGGTTTTAATCTGCATTTCCCTCATGGCTCATGATGTGGTACATTTTTTGTGTGATTACATGCCATCTATGTATTCTGTTTGGTGAAATGTGTTCCTATGTTTTGCTCATTTTCTGAATGAAATATCTTACTGTTACATTTTGAGACTTCTATAATCTAGATACTAGTCTCTCGTTTTTGCAGTTTGCAAATATTTCCTTCTATTTTATAGCTTGTCTTTTTATCCTCTCAAGTGGGTCTTTTGAAGGGCAACTTTAGATGATGAGAGTTCCTATTTTTTTTTCTAAAAGCTTTATGTTGTACAGGTAAGTCCATGATCCATTTTGTTGGTGTTTTTTGGTTTGTTTTTTTGTATAAGAAATGAGTTTAGGTCAAGTTTCATTCTTTTGGTCTATGGATGTCTAATTGTACTAGCAATATTGGTTGAAAATTCTCTCTCTCCTTCATCGAATTGCTTCTGCACTTTTGTCAAAATTGGTCAAGCTTATTTGTATGGGTCTATTTCTGGGCTATTTGGTTCCACATGTCTATTCTTCCTCCAATACTACACTCTCTTGATTACTGTAGCTATATAAATGGTGTTAAAATCAGATAGACTGATTTTTTTCCTACTTTATCCTTCTTTTTCAAAATTGCCCCCCCCCTTTGGTTCTTATAAACAATACTAAAAATAACATCACTAAAAAAATATTTTAGCCCTTACCTAGGTTTTATTTTTTCCTTAGGATCAATTTTAAAAAGTAGAACTTTTTATCAAAATGAATTACATGTTAAGGATTTTTTTATTTATATTGTTGGATTGTCTTCCAGAAACTCTTAAGTTTACATTTTAAGAATTAGTGAGTGAATTATTCCATTGAGAGGCAAAAATGAATAGCATTTCATTATTGTTTTAATTTGCACTCTTTGGATTTAAATGAGATAGGACATTTAAAAATGTTCATTGGCCATGTTTTTTTTTCCTTTGCAAATTTCTGCTTCATAGACTTTGCCCATTTTCTTATCAAAATATTCATAATTTTGTCATTGATCTGTGGGCTATCTCTGAATAGTAAATATATTGGTCCTCTGCTTTTTTTTTTTTTTTATCCTCACCTGAGGACATTTTTCCATTTTTTGTTCAGGTAGAGTGGGAGGGGGAGAGAGGAAGAGAGAGAGAAACATCGATGTGAAAGGGACACATCGAGTGGCTGCCACCCGCACGACCAACCAGGGCCGGGGACAAACTGCAACCGTGGTACATGCCCTTAGCGGGAACCGAACCCAGGTCTCTCGGGACCGCAGGCCGATGCTCTAACCGCTGAGCCAAACCGGCCAGGGCGGTCCTCTGCTTTTTATTTATATTATAAAGAGAAATGTCAAAGCATAGTGATAAAAGACTTTGGAATCAGAATGTCTAGTTGGGGTTGAATCCAATTCTGCTACCTACTGGCTGCATGACCTTGGACAAATTACTTAACTTCTTTGTACTTCAGTTTCCTCAGGTATAGAATGTAAAATGTGTGTGTGTGTGTGTGTGTGTGTGTGTGTGTGTGTGTAAACACAGAATTGTGCCTAGCACATAGAAAGTATTTTTTCAAAGTTTGTTGATATTATTATTAAATTTATCATTATTATTATTATTATTATTATTATTATTTTTATCCTCACCCAAGAACATTTTTGATATTTTGTTCAGATAGAGTGGGAGGGAGAGAGAGAGAGAAACATCGACGTAAAAGGGACACAGGGAGTGGTTGCCACCCACACGACCCAACCAGGCCAGGGACAAACTACAAACTACAACTGAGGTGCGTGCCCTTAGCGGGAACTGAACCCGGGTCTCTCTGGACTGCAGGCTGATGCTCTAACTGCTGAGCCAAACTGGCCAGGGCTACATTTATTATTTTCAGCTTGTGGTTGTCTTATTTTTGTTTATATAGGTTTCCTTTTGGCCTAAGTATTGGTTCTATTTTTTAATCTTAAAAGAAATCTTATCTTATCCTTTCTGTTTTCCTCTATTAATAAGCTGAAGTAACTCAAGTTAAAGTACTTCTAATTCTGGTTGCCCCCGAGGATTATAAAGTTTAAACCCACCTGATAAATTCCAAGTCAGGCTATGGTCATACTTTATTAATGCATACTTTCTTCATAGATTCAAATTAATGAGTGGTTTCATACACCGTCAGAAAGGCCGGAGGACTTACTCCTTCACATAGCCAACGCGTTCTCATGGCTCTGGGCCTTTGTCCCTGTCCCCTTGGTGCAGCTGCCACCAATTCTCAGAGCTATGTTTCTTCCTTAGGACAACGACCTAATTAGTCGTGCTTCCTTAAAAAAAAGAAGGTATTAAATAGCTAAGAATGACAAAACTGTATCGACTTACTGATGCTGGATTTGGAAGCTGGTTCTTGGACTGAATGTCTGTTTTATCTGAGTGGTCTGCACCATTTTAGTGCTGTCTATGATCGGGATCAAATACCGCAATATTTCTTCAGTTTGAGCTATTCTTTTATCCCTGTAGAGTCTTTTTTCATCATCTGTCCAATTTACACCAGTCTTCTTGCTTCGGAAGGGTGTAGCTTGTCTCATTTTGCTCTTCAGGTTGAGACGCAGGTCTGGGGGGCGGGGGGCAACCACAAAAACAGATATAGCTATAGAGACTGAATTGGTTCAACAATTACTTATTGAGCCTTATGCGCCAAGGATTCTATCTGAAAATTCTTACCCCTCTGAAGCTTATTCTTCAATTACAGGGTCAGAAAAGAAGCAAATAAACAAGTAAAATATATAATATGTTAGAGAATGATAAAGTTTATGGGATAAAATAAAGCTGGGAAAAGGAACAGAGAATTCCTGCGGAAAGGTTGATTCTGTTTTTACAAAGTTCCGAGAAGGCTTCCCTGTAATGCTTACATGTCAAAGGAATTAGGGAGTGAGTCAAGCTGCCGTCGGAGGAGAGAGCATTCTTGGCAAGGGGAACAGTACGTGCAAAGGCCCGAGCAGGGAGCATGGTGGTGTGTTCATGAACACCAACGGGCACAGAGGCGGAAGAGAATGAGCTCAGGGAAAGAGATAAGAGCGCAGGCAGGTCTAACGCGGTCTCAGTTCACGCAGGGCCTCGGAGGGCATCCTGAGGGCTTTGATCTTCACTGAGTGTGCAGTGGGGAGAAACTGCAAGGCTCTGAGCGAGGAGTGTCACGGCTTAGCTTTGCTTTAACAGGATCATGCTGGTTGCTGAGTTAAGAATAGATTAAATAGGGGCAAGGTTGGACAAGCAAGGTTACTGAAATCTTAACCTTATCTCTTGGAAGGTGAGTGAAATACTCCAGGAGAGAGGATGGTAGCTTGGACCAGGGTGGTAACCATGGCCAGAAGGATGAGAAGGATATGGGGGAGCGATCCTAGATATATTTGGGGATTTTCTAGTGAATTGGATGTGGGGTAAGAGAAGAAGAATCAGTGGTGGGTCCAAAACTTCTAATCTGAGAAAACAGAAGGATGGAGACATGAGGAAAACCACGGGAGGGGCATGCCAGAGATCCCTTCTCTGCTAGATAATATGAAGGAATGATTTGTTTCCTTCATTGTGATAATAGAAGTGCAACATTTTAAATAAGTATTTATCAAACCACTCTAAAAATAAAGTCTATTCAAACAGTATTTATTCTATTCCACACCCATTAAGATGGCTGCTATCCAAAAACCAAGAAAATAACCCAGCGTTGGCAGGGATGTGGAGAAATCAGAGCGCCTGTGCACTGCTGGTGGGCATGCAAAGTGGTACATCTCCTGTGGAAAACAGCATGGCAGGGCCTCAGACATTAAAAATAGAACTAACTTATGAGCCAGCAATTCCACTTCTGGATAAATGCCCCCCAAATTGAAAGCAGAGTCTCAAAAAGTTATTTGTACACGCGTGTTTATAGCAGCATTACTCACAAGAGCCAAAAGGTGGAAGCAACTCAAGTACCCACTGACAAATAAATGGATAAGTAAAATGTGGTAAATACATACAATGGGGTATTATTCAGCCTTCAAAAACAAAGGAAGCTGACACCTGCTACAATACAGATGAACCTTGAGGACATTAAGCCAGGCAAAGACTGACTTTTCTTCCAAATATTTGATGCCATTAATATGAGCTACCTAAAACAGTCAAAGTCATATAGGTAAAAATTAGGACTGTTGCCAGGAGCCCGGGAGGGGAGTTGTGGAATGGGTATGGAGTTTCAGTTTTGCAAGATGAAGAGAGTCTAGAGATTGTGTACACAGCCATGTGAATGTATGAAACACAACTGAACTTTATACTTAAAAACAGTTAAGATGGTACATTTTATATTTTGTGTATTTTAACACAATTTAAAAATTCAGTATATAGGGAGAAGGGGAAGAAGAACCCCGAGTAGAGCATCAAGGAAGCCCAGTCGACATTTTGAAGGATATAGCAGCAGTACTTACAATTGTAATGCCTACATTGTCATGTAGACAGAATGAGAAAAGTAGAATATGCTTAGAATAAAAGCAAGAAATACATTAGGCTTTGAAAAAAAAAATGTTCACTTTGTTAGAGACCTACATTGAACTAGTTATGGGCAAAATGATATGATTTGATGAATTTGCTTTAAATACTTTAGCAAAAAAAATAATGGTGGGAATATAGATGAAACAATAGCCCGATGTTGGTAACTATTAATGGTGGGTGGTGGATACCTGTGGGTTCATTATTCTAGTCTCTCTACTTTTATGTTTGAAATTCCCATAGTAAAGCTTTTTGAAAAAAGGAATTGGCTTTTATTAAAAAGAAAGGAAATAACTCTGGCCTGTTTGGCTCAGCGGTAGGGGCATTGGCCTGCGGTCCAGAGACCTGGGTTCGGTTCCCGCTAAGGGCACGTACCTCGGTTGTAGTTTGTCCCCGGCCCTGGTTGGGTCGTGCGGGTGGCAACCACTTGGTGTGTCCCTTTCACATCGATGTTTTTTTTCTCTTTCTCTCCTTCACACTCTATCTCAACCAAAAATGGGAAAATGTCCTTGGGTGAGGATTGAAAAAAAAAAAAAAGAAAGGAAATAGCCTGGCGGGTGTGGCTCAGTGGACTGAGCGTCCTCCCACGGGCGGAGAGGTCCCAGTTCGATTCCTGGTCAGGGCACGCGCCTAGGCTGCAGGCTGGATCCCCAGCAGGGGCATGTAGGAGGCAGCCCTCGCTGTTGCTCTCTCACACTGATGTTTCTATCTCTCTCTAAAAAAATCAATAAAAACGTATTAAAAAAAGAAAAGAAAAGGAAGGAAACAGTGGCTTAAGTACTCACTGAACTGAGCTGGACTCGAACGGTAACAAATGAGGGTGTGTATCACAGTCTCTGGCCATGCCAGCAACTGAAATGAACTCATCTACAGTTTCTTGAGGAGCCCTTCCTAGGCCAGTAAACAAACATTTCACTGAATGCTCATCATGTACCTGGCATTATGCTTGGTTTGGTAAATAGGAATGAAAACTATAGTCCTTGTCTTGAATACGCTAACAGGACCAGAGAGAGAAGTAAAGCATCAATTAGAGTACATTTCTAGAGGGATAAAGCAGGGTACTTAATGCAGAAGAGGGACTTTAAGAAATACTTAGGGATAGATAAGAAAAGCTTCCTACTTTCTAAATAATCTGTCTTGATGAATAAGTACAAGTGATGTAATATTTACTTTTCTGTGTCTGGCTTCTTTTACTTAGCACAGGGATTCTGAGAGTCATCCATGCTGTATCAGCAGTTCATTGCTCTTTATTCTATGGTACTAACAGGTATCAATAACAAGAAGATTTGGTACAACTAAAAAAAAAAAAAGTAATAAAAAACCCAAGGAGATATTGGGAATAAGTCAATTAAATAGACTTTTTTTTCAAGGCTATGTTAAACTAAAATAATTGTCGTCTGTATTCAACTCATATAAAGATTAAATAGGGCAAGTATTTTTCAGAGTCGGGAATAAATTGGCTATTAATCATTTCTGTTTATAAAAGCAGTTCCCCAAATTCCCCATTTCATAGGATTTATTAAGGATGATACAGTGAAAGCCACATTTGTATTTATTACAATTCTAAAATAAAAATAAAGAAAACCTTCTGTTGGTATCCTTGTCTTCTCAGTCCAACTGGGAGCTTGTTCGCTTACAGCACACTTCAAGGATGTCACTTTGAAGCAGTTACCATACAAATCAGCGCTTTGGGGCTGAATTAGTTCCTGGATTGGTCTCTTAGTGGGGGTTTCTAAAAAATGCCTTTGTTGGTCTCTGTTAAGCCTCTGAATCATACTTTGGGAGCTGAAAGAGAGCGGGTATTCTGATTTCAATGTCAACAGTGAACCATCTAATCAAGAGAAATGTAACACCACATTGTGTTCGTAGATAACAACTTGCAGTCTGTAAAGTAGCCTCACAGATGTTATCTTTCTGGGGGCTCTCACCAGTCCTGCCATATTGGCAGATGGCCAACACCTCCCATCTTACATCAGAGAGGGAATGTAAGAGAACGTGAGAAAATTAGAGAGATTAAGCTACTTGTTTTCAAGATCAAATAGCTAATATGAGAAAGGGGCAGGTCTAGAATTCACATCTTCTAACTTTAGTACTTTTTCTATTACTTTCTCTTATCTTGATATATCATTTGATTTCTTTCCATAGATATGACAAACAATATATTTAAAAAAATTAAGTCTTAGTTTAAATCAATCCAAGTATAGGTATGCTCAAGATGGTTTCTAACCTAATTTTTAAAGTTTTTTGGGTAGGAGACTCTACATATTTCAGTGGAACCTATTTTATTGAATAGAAACCAAGTTCCCAGAGGAGAGGCCAGGGAAGGAAAAGGGTACACCATGCTCCCTCTGAATAGACATACCTGCCTATAGTACTCACCTGTTCCCCGGTTCAGATGGTTGTTCCTTATACTGTTCCTGAGAACAGGGAAACTTGCCAAGGGAGCTAGTAATTATTGGTTCAGACACAACTACCCAGTTTATCTCTTATTCCTGACTTTTCTTTCTATTACTCCTTTTTCAGTTTTTAGGTAGTAGTAGTATCCCTACGAGACCAGTGCTCCAATTGCTATTACAGATAGTAAAACGTAACAGTCACGCACTCTAAAGTGTTAAATAATACCTTATCCCAGAAATATTTTTTTTCAAAAGAGAAACTCAGCCCTGGCCGGTTTGGCTCAGCGGTTAGAGCGTTGGCCTGCGGTTCAGAGAGACCCGGGTTCGGTTCCCGCTAAGGGCACGTATCTCGGTTGCAGTTTGTCCCCGGCCCTGGTTGGGTTGTGCGGGAGGCAGCCACTCGATGTGTGTCTCTCTCTCTCTCCCTTTCTCTCCTTCTTACTCTATCTGAACAAAAAATGAAAAATGTCCTCGGTTGAGGATTAAAAAAAAAAGAGAAACTCAGATAATGCGATGGCAAGTGCATAGAAATAAATGTCTAACTGTAGACTTTAAGGCATCCATTGAGGATAGTTTGGGGATATTGAAATTTCAGAACCCTTCAAAATGCATCATATGGGCACTCCTATATATATAACTGACCTAGTCACCGATATTATGTAGACATAAGGAGACATCCAATTAGCAATTGTTATCAAATAGTGACTTTTACCTGTTGCTTTAATTCAAAATCAAAACCTTATAAAACAGAGGAAAAGGAGTAAGGTGGTTGTTTTCCTACCTCATGTATCTTTTTAGAAGACAGGAAGGGGCTTGTCCAGGCATCTTCACTAAGAAAGAAAATACACCATAAAATTTCTAAACTTGATTAACAAAACTTGTTTTACTTTCTTGACAATTATCTCATTCATATATTTAATGGCTAACTTAATTGAGCTTGTCTTCAATTAATCTGCCATTGTCTCATCCAGACATATGAAATACGTGAGTACACATTTCACTTGGAAGCCTTTTAGTTAAAGTGTTTCAACGGAATAGCAAACAGTGGAAATACCTATCTAATAACTGTCAAAAACTGAGAACTGTATGTATGTTAGGGTCTACAAAGGACATCTGCATGTGTAGTTACATAACTGACTTTTTAGAATGCCAATCCACACCCCCCCCAAAAAATAGTATAACACGTAATAAATCACTATACACACATGTATTATGATTTTAACATAAGATAGATGTTTATTTAAGTTATATATCATTTGGTATTATTTGCTCTTATGCTACATAAACACTTTTAAGCAAAACAATAGGATTAGTTAACAGTGGTAGTTACAGTAATTAACAGAACAAATTAAACAAATTGTGTAACAATATATACAGATGTTAACCCTTCATTGGATATTTAAATTTTATAAGCCATATTATTGTGTTATCTTAAGACATAAATATATAACCTTTAAAAATTGAATGTAAATGCACTAGGGCTTTTAAAACAGACATTACGCATATTTACTATATGTTTCTTTATGTCCCATGATAAGGGAGGATATTTCTGCTCTGTGCTTCCTTCCCCCAAATACTCTGACTGCCTGCAGCCTCAGGACACCCTTCCTTTCTTCTCCTTTTTTTAAATCCTCACCCAAGGACATTTTTGCATTTGTCTTTAGATAGAGCGGGAGGGAGAGAGGGAGGAAGAAAGAGAGAGAAACATCAATGTGAGAGAGACACATTGACTGGCTGCCACCCACACAACCCCAACCCGGGCCGGGGATAAACTGCAACCGAGGTCCGTGCCCTTAGCGGGAACCGAACCCGGGTCTCTCTGGTCCGCGGGCCGACGTTCTAACCACTGAGCGAACCGGCCAGGGCCCCTTCTTTTCTTTTATGTTGTGATAAACTGATCACATTCAAAATCAAATTCTCTTTGACTTGCAGGTCTCCTCTTATGAAGCCCACATCACACGGCCCGCTGGTGGCAGCCTGATACGAGGCCATCAAGCTAGATATCCTGTCGATAAAGGAGTTTGATCATGGAATACTTATTAGCAACATCAGATTTCTAGACTTGGAAGGAATTCATTTCTAGCTCTGCAGAAATATCTATCCACTTTGTATCTACGGACTTGAGTAGTAGACTAGCTTTCTGACATTCAGGCCCTTTGCATCTTTACATTCCTCAAGTAAGGTCTCCATGCCCACATGTCCGTTGTGTTTACACTACAGCACACTGGACATCACCGTAAGTTAAACTTCTTTCTCGGGGAAATGTTTTTATTTGTTTATTTTTCTTTATTGATTTTTAGAGAGAGAGAAAGGGAGAAACATTGATGAGAGGGGACATCGATTGGCCGCCTCCTGCATGCCCCTCACTGGGCATTGGGCCCACAACCTGGTCATGTGCCCTGACCGGGAATCGAACCAGCGACCTCTTGGTGTAGGGTCAATGTCCAACCACTGAGCCATGTCGGCCGGGTTGAGGGAAATGTTTTCATAGCACAGAGGTCATTTGAACTTAAACTGAAGGTGGATTTCAAATAAATTAGTTTTTAGTGTGTTTTATTTGGTTGCCCTTTTCTGGTGACACATTTTTGAATTCTGAGTCAGTCTTATTTATCCCCAAAGGTAACTGTTTTTACTGGATAGTTTTTGTCATAATCTACGCATAATATCAAACAACTTAGGTACAGTTCATTCATCCTTTTCTATACTCCTTAGGGACTCTTCAAAGACCACCAGTTTTAGAGAAACAGCGTAGACTAGTCAGCCCCCCTTATCCACGGGGGATCTGTTCCAAGACCCCCAGTGGTCGTCTGAAACTGCAGATAGCACCAATATATACTGTTTCTTCCTACACATACGTACCTATGATGAAGTTTCATTTATAAATTAGGCACAGTGCGAGATTAACAACTAATAATAAAATAGAACACTCATAACAACGTACTGTAGTAAAAGTTATGTGAAGGTGGGCGTTTCCTCTCAAATACCTTACTGTACTATTCTCACCTTTTCACTTAAAGGAAGTACTCGGCCACATCTCTTTGGCCAATGCAAATGGCCAGCCTCACTACTCTTGCACTTTGGGGTGATCAGTAAGTAAAAGAAGGGTGACTTGAACACAGCTCTGCGATACCCCGGCAGTGGGTCTGATGACTGACGGCTAAGGGACTGATGGTAGGGGCACAGCAAGGAGACGCCGGGCAAAGGGTTCTTCACATCCCACGTGGGACGGAGCGGGACGGTGCGAGATTTCATCAGACTACGCGGAACAGCTTGAGATTTAAAACTCATCAAGGGTTGATTTCTAGAATGTCCATTTAATATTTTAGGACTGCAGTTGACACTGGGTAATGGAAACAGCAGGAAACAAAACTGTATGAGGAGGGACCATTGCGTTACATTGTTTAATGTTCATATGTTATACCAGCCTTTCATTTCTGGGATAAATCCTCCTTGTTCCTTGTGTATAATCCTTTTTATATGTTGCTAGATCTAGTTTGCCAGTGTTTTGTTTGTCTTACTCTTTTGTTTTAATTCTTAGTGATTCAGAACTTGGTAAAGAAGCAGACCATTTATTAGGCCCCTATAAATCCTAAGTGACCTTTCTGAGAAACCTCTGCTTCTCCTCTATCTCCCCAAACGACTCCTATATAATTCCATAATAGCACAATAAATTGTACTCATCCCATTATATTTCCATTGTCTGTTTTCCTGTTTGTCATTCTCTCTGCTTCTTAAGCACAGACTATATTTTATTTCCCATTGTATAGATATTTCCCAGTGTCTAGCACAATTTTTGCACAGTATAACTTGAGACCTCTGGGAAGCAGATAAACATCAGATTTTTTAAAGAACATAAACAAAGATGGAAAGGAGACTATGTAATAAAGACTAAATATAAGAGAATGGCTGGGACACAGAAGAATAGTGTCAGTAAGGTTAAAAGAACTAAGATAAGAAGAAACATTGAAAACAAGAAATAAATTTTGCTTAGCTATTCAGAATGAAAATATACCAAAGAATGTTTAGATTTGTTCTGCTGGGATTATTTTTAAATCCTGATGGATGACAAAGAGCAGAATCCCTGAGCTCTTAAATTGTTTCTGTCTTTTCTATGAAGAAGTTTTCTTCTGAGTAAAATAAACACTGGTAAGAGATGACCGAAGTCCAAAGAATGAGGTATCTCTAGTCCCAGGCACACTGCATGCCAAGTAAGAAAATACTTTGCATATAAGATCACACAACCACTGACAACAATCTTTTAAGACTTCAAGGAAGTGATTCTCCTCTCCCTGTTACATGCCTAATTTATCCGTTAAGACTCCACCATAATTTAAGGATCAATTCCTTCAAGAAAACATTCCCTGAGATTTCCAGGCTGGATTAGATCCCTCTCTGAGCAACCAGAGCAATTTGTGCATATCATTATCACTCAATCTATCTCACTCTTACTGTAATAAACTGTATATGAGTCTCATTAAACTTTGATACCTACTCCTTAAATGAGCAGCTAAGAGAGGCTGAGGTATACGGCAGGCAGAGATGACAGCATGAGCAAAGGCAAGGAGGTGAGATGTCCTTTGAGGCTGCAGGACATTTATCTTTGCTAAGGTGTTAAGTAAAATGCAGAGAATCAATCGCAGGAGATAAAACTGGAGAGGTAGTCAGGGGCCAATTCACTGGAAGTCATGTATGTCCCGTTAGAACCTGGTTCCTATGCTACAGCTAATGGCTGTCAAACATTTGTTTGTTTGTTTGTTTTGTTTAAGTAACAGACCATTATTGAAAGAAAACTTGGACAAGAAAGCTACTCAGGGTGAATAAGGGTTGGATGGGCTGGGTCACACCGACTCTCACTGTAACTCCCGAAGTGGTGAGTTGCCAAGTGTGGTCTGCAGATCACTCACCAACCCCAGGATGACCTGAGGTTGACAACAAAGACCAACCCCGAACCAGAAGCTGATGTTTTCATACGCTCCTCAGGTGACTGTCGTGGCCCACAGCCCCCAAGCATGCCAGCGCTGGGAATGATAAAGTTGAGCAGCTGTTCCAAGTTAAAAGAATGAAGGGAGGTGGCAATTAAATGCAATTCATGACCTTGAATCAGGAAGAAGTTTTGCTCTAAAGGACACTGTTAGTATATTTGGCAAAATTTAACTGTAGAATGATAGAAAATTGTATCAAAGTTGCCCTGGCCAGTTTGGCTCAGCGGTTAGAGCGTCGGCCTGCAGTCCGGAGAGACCCGGGTTCGGTTCCCGCTAAGGGCATGTACTTCGGTTGCAGTTTGTCCCCGGCCCTGGTTGGTTGTATGGGTGGCAGCCACTCGATGTGTCCCTTTCACATCGATGTTTCTCTCTCTCTCTCCCTTCCTCTCTCTCTCTCTCCCACTCTATCTGTACAAAAAAAAAAAAAAATGGAAAAATATCCTTGGGTGAGGATAAAAAAAAAAAAAAAAAGAAAAGAAAATTGTATCAAAGTTGAATTTCCTGAATTTAATGTAAGAGAACATTCTTAGAACATATACGCTGAAGTTGTTTAGGGATAAAAAAGTGTGCTGTCTACGAAAACATACAGTGGGGGGATATATAGATAAATAGGTAATAGATAGAGTTCTTTGTACTAAAGTATTTAAAAAGTAAAACATTTAAAAGAGAAAGCTTAAAAATAAATCTTAGGCTGTGCCAACTTCAATCACTTAGAAAACTGGGGATTACTGAAAGGGTTTAGGTAGGTAGTCAACATAAGCAGATCTGTGTTATTGATAGATGGCCTTTGTGGTTGCATGAAAGGGTGACAATGTTGGTGGCTAGAAGACCACTTAGAAATCTGCAGGAGTCCTGGTAAATAGGTCATAAGAATCTGAAAAGAATGAGGGTAGTCAAGATGGAGAAAAAGGGATTATGGGGTAAATTCAGCTAGTTCACTGGCTGACTGCATCCGAGGGACGGAAGCGAAAGGAGGCAGAGGATAACTATCAGGTTTAGCTTGGGTGGTTATGGAGACAGCACTGCCACCGAAGTTGTAGAGGATACAAAACACGGGAAGAAGAGCATTTAGTGTAGAACTAGGTGGATTTTTTTGGGATGTGTGAGGCATCTGTGTGAAGATGCCTAGCAGATAAAAGTCAGAGCCTGAAGCTTTGACACGAGGTTAAATGTATATATAGATATGCGTGTATACCGATGCATTCGTATACACACAGTATATGTGTATATGTACACATATGTAGAGTACAATAATATGAAATGATAAAAAAATCAAGAGTTCATGAAAAGCTGAATCTAAGAAGACTTAATTTAGCAGAAATAAATTTAAGAACCAGTACAATGAACCATAATACCAAACCAAAACTGAAGAAGTAAAGGATGGAGGAGACATAAATTAGCCACCACACTATGAAAATAATACTTGATAGCTGTGAGTATGTATTAATCCAATATTTTGATATTCAAAGAACAAATGCAACCTTAGACGGCATTAGTGAAAATCTCATATCTAGAAAGAAGCGAACGAGAATGATCATTTATATACAGGGTGGGGCAAAAGTAGGTTTACACTTGTTCATATGGAAAAGAAAGCAATAATTAATAGATAATAATACAAGAGTAAACTGTGTTTTGCGTACTAACTACAGTAAACCTACTTTTGTCCCATCCTGAGTCCTCATTAGATGACATTTGCAACACTGTGTTCAGTTTATTTAAGTTTGAATAGTGATAGAAAAGAGTGAAATAAGATGGCAGAGAGGCTTGATCAGACCACACTATGGATGGTTGAAATACAATGAAAGGAAAGTTTCAGGGAAATAAATAATAGCTTTTAAAAAATACTTATGAGGCCTGGCTGGTGTGGCTCAGTGGTTGAACATCGACCCATGCACCAAGAGGTCACTGGTTCAATTCCTGGTCATGGCGCATGCCCAGGTTGTGGGCCTAATCCTCACTGGGGGGCATGAAGGAGGCGGCCAATCAGTGTTCTCTCTCATTGATGTTTCTATCTCTCTCTCCCTCTCCCTTCCTCTCTCTCTAAAATCAATAAAGAAAAAAAATACATATGATCCATCAGGTGAAAGAAGCATTACATTTGTTCTCATTATTTCAAGGAGAATTAGGGTAAATGAGTCAGTCAGACATGTTTACCTTTAAGGTCCCTTTACTCAACCATTTTGTGTTATTAAAGAGGTGGATGAAATTTACAGGGACACACGTTTTTAACTCAACACGAAAAGAACATTTTCTCAGTGCTAGAGCTTTCTAGAAATGGAATGAACTGTATCATAATTTGGTAAACTACCTGTGACCAAGAGTAGTCTATCAAAGGTTGGATGAGCCTGGATCCTGTAACTAGTGGAACATAAGACTAGGATCCTCTCAGAGTTTCTTTCTGTTTTAAGATTCAGTGAGATGGGAATAAAAAAAATTAGACAATCAGCCCTGGCCGGTTTGGCTCAGCGGTTAGAGCATCAGCCTGTGGTCCACAGAGACCCGGGTTCGGTTCCCGCTAAGGGCATGTACCTTGGCTGCAGTTTGTCCCACACCCTGGTTGGGTCGTGTGGGTGGCGGCCACTCGATGTGTCCCTTTCACATCGATGTTTCTCTCTCTTCCTCTCTCTCCTTCCCGCTCTATCTGAGTAAAAAATGGAAAAATGTCCTTTGGTGAGGATTTAAAAAAAAAAAAAAAATTAGACAATCAGATGAATGTTTTCTCTTTTTTTGACCGGCTAACATGACCAGAAAACAAATTGACATATAATTAATATCTACTGGCTTCCTCTAAATATTTCTAGACCTATAAAGAAAAGTAAATATTTTGAGATTCAAAATTTCCTTGTCTAGCCAATATGAAGATACTCTTCTAGTTTTTTATAAGTAGATCTTTATGAAACACAAATTATTAAATAGCTCACATACAGATATATGGTAGGCGACCACTCATTACTCTATATTCTCATTTTACATACCTAAACCTTGATTAGGAAGGTGTCTTGTGAAACAATCAAACATACGATCAGGTGATACATTTGGCCTCATACCTAGAAAGGATGGTAAAATATCATTAGTGGCATGAAAACAATTCATTGACTCGTTTATATTTCATATTTTTATCTTTTTCTACATAAAAATGCTAGCAGATAGTATGTCAACAGTTGTTTAGTTCAATTAAATGAACACAAACATCAACTCTATGATTTTTTTGTTGTTGTATTTTGCTATTTACAGCAAAAACTATAAAAAATGTTCATACCCTTTGGGTCAGCAATTCCATTCTAAGAATCTAGTATAAATAAGTAATTGAGAATATACACAAACAGAAAGTTATAAGGTCTTCATTGTTGTTTACAATAGGAAAAATGTAAACAAAATTTAACAATGGGGTGGCTAAATAAATTAAGGTTCACTAAGACAATGGAATACTTTGCACCATTTATTAACATGTAAAACAGTTAATAATATACTGTAATTTTAAATAAAAACAAGTTGCAAAGCAAGCTGAACTACTTTGTCTCCCTCTATTAAAAAATGAGTTCCTGCCTGGCTGGTGTGGCTCAGTGGTTGAGCATCAACCCATGCACCAGGAGGTAGACAGTTTGATTCCCGGTCAGGGCACATGCCCAGGTTGTGGGCCTGATCCCCAGTGGAGGCCATGCAGGAGGCAGCCAATCGATGTTCTCTCTCATTGATGTTTCTGTCTCTCTCCCCCTCTCCCTTCCTCTCTCTAAAATCAATAAAGAAAAAAAAAATTTTTTTTAAATGAGCTCCGGGGGGAAGAAATGGTATAGTATACCTCTTAATATCTGTAGGCCCAAGCACAGAGAGAACCTCAAAGTTGTGGCACAAAAACAGTGTTTAATGAGTAAACAAATTAATTATTTATGAGAGAGTAGAAGTAGAACATTACCTTTCGCATCAGAATTTGATTCTTTGTGACTTTGCACTAAATGTCCTTTGTCACCAACCTAATGGAACAGAACCAGAAGGAAAATAATACTGTTATGAACATGAAAATGAGGTATATTTCCTATATGATTTATGGAAGAGTTGTTTTCAACATTTCTAATTTTATCCACATAGGTTTAGAATGGATAAAATAATCTCTTAAATCAGAACTTCCTAATACCTTTCATCATGCTACTTTTCTCCTAGAGCAATGAGTAGAAGAAACTACTGATATTTTGGCATTAAAGAGAGTTTAAAAAATGTTTACTGCATAAAGAACTTATTTATGATGAGAAACAGAAAATGTAGTTTATAATCTCACTCACTGACATGAGAAGAGTAAAGATATAGGAAGATAAGAGTGCGCAATGGGTGAAAATATATAAAATTGTATGAAAATGTATAAGCAATTCCAAAACTATGCTTGTATAGGAAAGATAAAAAATATTTTCATGTAGCCTGCAAAGAATTCCAGTAAGAAAGAACATACATGATTTTGCTTTCTGTCTTGAAAGGAATTACCAATATGACCCAGATGGACTAAAAGAGACAAAACACTGTAGAATTATGACTGCTAATACTGAGTAGTCTACAGGTCATTATGTGACCATGAACACATTTTTAATGTGTCCAGACTTCTGTTTCTGTGTTTGTTGTATGTGGAGATTGTAACGAATTTTCCAAGAGAGCCTGAGAAAGAAAAACAGAATTGAAAACATTTTTGCCAAGATGTAATGCATGTCTCGCTTCTTGACTTCACCTACTCTACTATTGATTCTCTGTAAATTATTCTTTATCTCAGTTAGTGCATCCTTCATTTCTGACTGGTCCTTTTTTATGTTGCTGATGTTCTCATTAAGTTCCTTGGAGTTCTCCTTAAGTTCCTTGAAGCTCTCACTAAGTCCCTTGAAGGTCTCACCAAGTTTCTTGAGTATCCTTATAACCAGTATTTTGAACTCTGCATCTGATTTATTGCTTATCTCCATTTTATTTAGTTCTTTTCCTGGAATTTTGTTTGTTCTTTCATTTGGGACATGTTTCTTTGTCTCCTCATTTTGGCTGCTTCCCTGTGTTTGTTTCTGTGTATTTGGTAGAGTTGCTATGTCTCATAGGCTTCATAGGATGGCCTATTGTTGTAGGTGTCCTGTAGAGTTCAGTGGCACAGCCTCCCTGATTACTCCAGCCGGGTTTTCAAAGTGTACCCCTAGCATGGACTGTATACCCTTCTGTTGTAATTGAGTCTGGATTGCTGTTGGCATGTCAATGGGAGGGATTTATTCAGGTTGATCAGCTGCAAGGACTGGCTTTGCCCACTGACCATTGGCTTCTGACTCCCTTGGAGGATCAGCAGTGTAGGGGACCACCACACAGAGCAAGACTTACTACAGCAGGGTTCTGGTACCCACTGAGTCCACTCATTGAGTGTGTCACTTGTGGAGGTGGTTGCATGGTGGTACTTTGATGTGGTCTGAAGCTTTCCACTGGGTATGCTGGCTCTGGGACAAGGTCAGCCATTGCTTGTGTTCTACCCAAGGACACCAGCATAAGATACAAAGTGATCTGCAAATGGCTGCTTCTTGTGTTGGGCTGGGAGATGCCCAGGAAAAGCCAAGTTGTGAACCAATGCTGGCTGCTTCTAGTGCCAGGCCTAGGGCCACTTAACAAGAGGTATGGGGCTTGCTGAGACCAGATGCTGCTTGTTTGAGAGATTTTAGGAAAATCTGAAGCAGGATCCAAAACAGGCCAATTCTATGGTAAAGCCATTGGAAGCTTTGGTGGGCTCAAAAGTTGGGTGGAGCAGGGCCTCAGGGAATTACAACCATCAATTTGGAATATAAGAAAGCAAAATCTACCCAGTTGGAACAGCAAAAATAAAAAAAAATAAAAAAATAAAAAATGAGGACAGTGTAAGGAGCTTCTGCGACAACTTCAGGCATACCAACATTTGCATCACGGGGGTGCCAGAAGGAGAAGAGAGAGAGAGCCAGAAATTGAAAACCTATTTGAAAAATAATGACAGAAAACTTCCCTAACTTGGCAAAGGAAACAGACATACAAATCCAGGAAGCACAGAGAGTCCCAAACAAGATGAACCCAAAGAGGTCCACACCAAGACACATCATCATCAAAATGCCAAAGGTTAAAGACAAAGAGAGAATCTTAAAAGCAGCAAGAGAAAAGTAGTTAGTTACCTATAAGGGAGTTCCCATAAGAATGTCAGCTGATTTCTCAAAACAAAATTTGCAGGCCAGAAAGGAGTGGTAAGAGATATTCAAGATGGTGAAAAGCAATGACCTACAACCAAGATTATTCTACCTGCAAAGCTATCATTTAGAATCAATGGACATATAGTTTTCTAGACAAGAAAAATGCTAAAGGAGTTCATCACCACCAAACCAGTATTATATGAAATGTAATACTTCTTAAAGGAAAAGAACAAAAATATGAACAATAAAATGGCAATAAATACATATCTATCAACAATTGAATCTACAAACAAAATGAGCACGCAGAACAGAAACAGACTCGTAGATACAGAGAACTTTTTGTTGCTTGCCAGATGAGAGAGCGTTGGGAAAATGGGTGAAAAAGATGAAGGAATTAAGAAGTACACATTGGTTGTTAGACTGATGAACCTCAAAGGGAAGGGGTGGGGAGGGCAGGAAGAGATAAACCAAAGAACTTCTATGCATATATGCATAACCAATGGATACTGACAACAGTTTGGAGAAGGCAGGAGGGGAGTGGAATTGGAGAGGAGGGGGTCAATGAGGGGAAAAAAAGGAGGAGGCATCTGTAATACATTCAATAATAAAGTTAAAAAAAAAGATGTAATGCATGTCAACGTATGATAAAAAGTAGAGTACAATATAGAGTTAAAAGCTAAAATAAAATCCCTTTGTAGATAAAATTGATTGGCAGCAAAATTTTAAAAAATTGATATAATCGCTATGAAAATGGAAGAAAATGTAAAAACCAAAAGATTATTGAAGGGAGAAGAAAAGGAAAATATTCTAGAAAAAAATTACACAATGTCAAAAGTAGCAATATTATATAATCACTAGATTTGGAGAGACAGGGGTAAAGTTCGGCTGAAGATGATCACTGATAAGACTTGTTCTAATGAACTCTAAATGTCTGTCATTTTTAGCCCTCTTCCCTTGATTGAAATGATAATAAACTGTGAACCATAGTAAACTAGTACATGTGTCCCACAGAAAATCACCAGGCCAATGTCCTTATGAATGTGATCTACACATTTTAGCCACAATAATGTATAATTGTTTGTGCTGGAAGTCTTCAAAATGAATTATAAATGTGTCCTGGTAGGAAATGAAGTTAACTAAAATATTTTTTTAAATTTACTACTATTATTTTGGGATGTATTGATGTCTTACAAGCAAACCATTAAAATAAATAGTTTAAGAGCATGAATTTAAGTGTTCACCTCAGTGAGTTTTGCTCCTTTTGTCAAAAATTACTAGAAAATAAATTTCAGGATCAATGACTAAGAACTCCTATTAGCTTATGGGCACTTTTAGAATATATGGAACATTCTGCAATGACCAAAGGACGAGATTGTTTTTTCCATTTGAAAAATCCAACATTATATGTAGATTATAATTTCATAACAAATTTTAAAGCTCCAATCAAGAAAGAGTAAAAAAATAGATATTTAACATAAAGGAATTTATTATATTTTACATGAAATATAGCTTGGATAGATGTGGATATGTTTATGAGAACTAAATAAATGTGTCTCAAAGATCTACATACAAAAAAATAAAAAACAAATCCCCAAACAAATGTACTTTGGTTCAGGTTCTATAAATGACTTAACACATTAAGATCAATTAGAGAGTTTGTTTGCCAAAAAAATTGAAATACAATCTTGGCGCTCCCCCAAGTATACTCACATTGCGTACTTTACAAACAGAAAATCAGATAGCAATGTCAAAATATATGGTATTACTGTAACAATATGCTTTAAAGAATAGAACTTTTTTTATTTTTTATTATTAATCCTCACCCAAGGACATTTTCCCATTTTTTGTTCAGATAGTGGGAGAGAGAGAGAGGAAGAGACAGAGTGAGAGAAACATTGACGTGAAAGGGACACATCGAGTGGCCTCCACCCTCACGACCAACCAGGGCCGGGGACAAACCGCAACCCACGCGCCCTTAGCGGGAACCGAACCTGGGTCTCTCTGGACCGCAGGCCGACGCTCTAACCGCTGAGCCAAACCAGCCAGGGCAGAACTAAACTTTTTAAATGAGAAATATTAACACAGAAGAGTGCACACACAAAAGAGTGCATGCATATTGGTAAAATCTGAATAATCTCTGGGTTATATCAATGTCAATTTCATGGTGTTGATAATAATGAATGCAAGATGTGATTATTGGGGAAGGAGAAGTAAAGGGTGTGTGTGTGTGTGTACACACTTTTTTTTTTTTTTTTTTTACAACTCCTGTGACTCTATAATTATTTCGAAATAAAAAGTGAAAAAACCAGAATTATGGGAGGAAGGAAGAAAAATGATTTCCAAAGTTCTTGGGAAATCAGATTCTGTTAATTCCATCCATATTTGGCGATTGCAGTGTACTTGGTGTTTAATATGTGCTGAATAAACTTGTCACTGCTAACTTGAAATTTATGACTGGTGCTTGATCACTATTAATAACAGGAAATATTTGCAAAACAACTTCTAATATTTTTATTTGTTTGAATATTTGAGTAGAAATCTTTTCATCTTCTGAGCTTCTGAGTCTGGGACTCAGGTCTTCTCCAATTTCTGGGGTTTCTGCAGGTAACATGATATTTAAGGATTCTGAATGGATCCAAGGACGAAACCACTTTAATTGTCGATCTGTGTTTGTCAGGCTTATTTCCTAACTAGGCAAATCTACTGAACTCTGGATACCGATTGTCCTCCTCCTCCCCCTCCTCCTTTTATCCCTCTGGGTTTGTTACTTGTTTGTTTCTTTAGTGATGGGCTGGATTATTTTAGTGAAGCCCCTTATCCACCTGCAGTGTTAAGCTCTGATTTTGCTCCTCAGGGGTGCGGACTTGGGTACACCCTGGGATGGCAGCGGTTTTGGCAGGGTGGTCTTTGTCTCTTTTTCTGACCATAGCCAGCAATTAAGTTCCACTAATTTCTAGCCCACAGCATTACTGTTTCCAACAATGCCCAAGGCATATTGTTCTGCAGACCAATCCGATCAGATTTGTGCTCCTTTGAAGGCACAGTTCCTGAGGTCAGGGTTTGCGATTTGTTCTGACCCCAGAAGGGCTCCTCCCTGCTGTCTCTTTCCCCAGTTCCCTCTGGCAAACCAGCCAGCCTACAGTTTAGCTTGTATTTCCGATGAATCTACCAATCTCTTCCCAGTTGTCTTTTACCACTCTTCTACTGTTTTTGAGAATGCCCTTAAACTCGAATTTCTCCAGGATCTGGTGCAAATTAAGGCCCTTCTTTGGGAAAGAGATTAGGAGCTATCTATTTTATTTGGTTCTCCCTCAAGTCAAAATGTCTGGCCCGAGTGTCTCTGGAGCTGGGGGTGGGGACAGTGGCATTCTTCTCTTAGTGATACCCCACGTTAGGAGCCGACCTGTAGGTGGGAAGAGGGCAGTGGTCTTTGGTCTTCTCTATTTGCCTTGCCCAGCCAAGGCAAGGGTGATTTGGGCCAAATATATTCTCAGTGATGTAGCACCCAAGGTAGAATCTACTTCTCATGAAGGGGTCTGGGTAGAAGGAGGGACCCCTGTTGCTGGGCTGTGCTCACCTGGGATGTAGCTTTAGCTATAGGTAGCTAGAGGCAGGATAACCTTCCTGGGAAGACAGCCCTCTGACTGGTACCTGTGAGGAGAGGAGGCCCCGGGTCTGGGCTGCCCTAGTCTGGAGTGAAGTCTCAGTCTCATCGAGCTGGAGGGAGGAGGGAGGAGGGGGTGTTGATTCAAATGCCACAGGCTGTCACTGTTTTGGTTTGTTTTTCTTTTAAACCAAGTTGTAGATTTTCATAAATAGATGTTTCTTCATTTGCTGTATGCCCTTAGGACCATTTCCAGAGACTTCATTTTGTTGTTGTTGTTGTTATTTTAATTTTTAGAAATCCACATTGAGTCCTTTTGGCCAAATTAACAGTAACAGAATATACCAGTGTGTGGATGTTCTTTGTGAAGGGGGAAGGGGTATTGGGGTGACAAACAGGCAAGGTGTTTATAACAAATGAAGACTTATTATAAAAAGATCAGTGTATTTAAAACACCCCATTGGTTAGCCTGGCCGGTGTGGCTCAGTGGTCACTGGTTTGATTCCCGGTCTGGCCAATTGATGTTCTCTCTCATCTATGTTTCTATCTCTCTCTCTAAAAATCAGTAAAGAAAATAATATTTAAAAAAAATGCCCTGGCTGGTTTGGCTCAGTGGTTAGAGCGTTGGCCTGTGGTCCTGAGAGACCCGGGTTCGGTTCCTGCTAAGGGCATGTACCTCAGTTGCAGTTTGTCCCCGGCCCTGGTTGGTTGTGCAGGTGGCAGCCACTCGATGTGTTCCTTTCACATCGATGTTTCTCTCTCTCTCTCTGTTCCTCTCTCTCCCTCCCACTCTACCTGAACAAAAAAAGAAAAAAAAAAGCCCCATGCTTCAGTGTATTTTCCCTAATTGTGTCTGCTTGATTTGTCTTTAGCCCAACCTCATAGTAACCAGTGTATAATTCACTGTTTAAATCCTCCCCTCCCTTTTTTGGTGTAATAAACTATACCAAACATAAAATTTACCAGTTTAACCACTTCTTTTCTCCATTTATGTTCAGATAGAGTGGGGGAGAGAGAGAGAGAGAAACATTGATGTGAGAGAGACACGCTGACTGGTTGCCTCCTGCATGACCGGAATCGAACCTTGACTCTCTGGTCCGCGGGCTGACGCTCCAACCACTGAGCCACACCGGCCGGCCATTTCAACCATTTTGAAGTGTACAGTTCCGTGTCCTTAAGGACATTCACATTGCAGTGCGGCCATCACCACCACCCATCTCCAGACCTCGTTCGTCTTCCCAAACTGAAACTGTCCCCATTAAACACCAACTCCCCAGTCCTCCCTTGACCTTGACCAAAAGATAAGTAGCTGAATCCATTAGAAAGAATATTCTATGGTGTGTGTCTTCTTACAAATTAGAAGGAAATTACAAGAGTAACGTATATATTCAAACAACAGAGGCGTATGCAGTGAAAAGTGAAAGTGTCCCCATACCCTAGAGATAACCAATGGGTACTTTGGTGTGTAGTCTTCCAAACACTTTTGCATTTTTCCGAGCTGTGCATAAAGACGACCTCCCTCTCAGTGCAGCTGAAAAGCACCACAGCACTCAGGGGATGTACCCCGAGAACTGGGGCATGCCACATTCTCTGGCTTTCACTTACTTCCTCTCAGGATCCTGCCTTTTTTTTTTTTTTTTTTTTATCCTTACCTGAGGACATTTTTCCATTTTTTGTTCAGATAGAGTAGGAGGGAGGGAGGAGAAGAGAGAGAGAGAAACATAGACGCAAAAGGGACACATCGAGTGGCTGCCACCCACACAACCCAACCAGGGCTGGGGACAAACTGCAACCGTGGTACATGCCCTCAGCGGGAACCGAACCCGGGTCTCTCCGGACCGCAGGCTGATGCTCTAACTGTTGAACCAAACTGGCGCGGGTGGGATCCTGCCTTTTGACTTCTTTGTGGAAGAAGTCTTTGAACCTCCTTGTTTCAATGATTGTTGTTGTTGTTGTTTTGCTTTTTAATAATTTTCAGCTACGTTTGCTAGTGAGCTGGATCTGTAGAGCTCCCATCTGTCAGGTGGAAGCTGATCCCAGCACCATCTAATTCGTACTTTCGTATTCCCATTCAATTTTTCTTAGTTTTAATTATTTCTTGCTACCCTGGATGCATCTCTGTAAGATGCCTCAAATACTTTTCCAAGTCAGGTAAGCGTAAGTGAAATTTAATCATTAACTTTTCCTGAGGAAAAAGTTCAGGTATAGGAAATGTCAGAGGAAATAACTTGCTGTTCGTTCTCTTGCAATCACTTTTTCAGAAGCTGCTAACAACCAGCTCAATGAATACTTACCTCTCGCTCTTCTCTGGCATTCTGATAGCTCACTAGGGAGGAATTTCTTTCTTTCATTGTTTTCAGATGTTTTTTCTTGCTTTTTATCTATGTAAAAGAATCATATTTAAAACTGATATTTAATCAATACATCAGAGACGTTATATATGCAGACATAAAACTGTCTTGCGATGACTACTTGTAAAAAGATGAGTATTTTCCCATTCCTCCCACTAAGTACAGCTATAAACACTGGGTATGATATATATATATACATATATATATATATATATATATATATATATATAAAAAATATATATGGCTCTAAAGTATGACAAGAGAAGGCAAACCGGTGAAGGATTCGAGGAGCAGAGGGACAACATGACTGAGTAGTTTCCTGTTGCTTTTGTCTGTCTGTCTTAGCCTCATATACCCGCCTTAGAACCGGAGGAGCCAGCAACCCAGAAATAGCAATGAGTTCAGAAATAATGGCTGAAAACTTTCCAAATTTGATGAAAGACATGAATGTAAACATCCAAGAGATTCAATGAACTCCAAGCATGATGAAATAAAAAAACCCATACCAACTCCATATACGTTTTAGGATTATTTGTGCTAGTTCTGAGAAGACTGCCTTTGGTATTTTACGACGGATCACATTGAATCTGTAAATCAGTCTGTGTGGTATGATCATTTTAATGATGTTAATCAGACAGAGAAAGACAAATATCATAAGATTTAACTTATATGCAAGATCTAAAACAAAACAAAACAAGTGAACAAAGAAAACAAAACAAAAACAGATTCACAGAAACAGAGATCAAACTGATGATTGCCGGAGGGGAGGGTGTAGGAAGGATAAGTTGAAAGGTGAAGGGAAACACAGTCAATAACATTGTGATAGGTTTGCACGGTGACATTGTAAGGTATGTAAATGTTAAATCACTATGTTCTACACCTGAAACTAATATAATACCTAAATTATACCAACTATACCTAAATTAAAAAAAAAATCTTTTCAGTAAGAAAACGCACACCAAAACACATTCTCGTCAAACTTTCAAAGTCAAAGATACAAAGAGAATCTTGAAAGCAGCAAGAAGGAAGTAAGTTATTACATGCAAGGGATCCTCAATAAGGTCACTAGCAGATTTCCATCAGAAACGTTGGAGGCCAGAAGACAGCGTGCCAATAGTCGCGGTACTTAAAGGAAAAAAACCAAAACCAAAAACAGAGGGGCAGAACTGTCCTTCAGGAAGTAGAGAGAAATGAAGACATTCCCAGATACACAAAAGCTGAGGGTGTTCGTGACCGTTAGAACTGCTTTGCAAGAAATGTTCAATGGAGTTCTGCAAGGTGACATGAAAGGACACTAGACAGTGTAACCGAGTAGAAACTTCATTTCTTTACTACGACCTTTTTTGCTTTCCTTCCTTTTGAGTCACACTGGTCCCTCCCAGCACCCTGACTCACCTGCCTCTTTCCCTCTTGTACACTCACTCCCTTAATCATTAAGCCCTGAGGACAATGAGGTTCTGGCCAGCTAATTATCTGGGCAGATAATTTTAGGAACAAAGCCTCAGGTCTGTTGACCCCAGAGACAGAGTTTTGGTCAAACTAGAGATAACATCAAGGTCACAGTGGAGTTTCAGCTCCAGGCCATAAAATTGGTGAAATCAGACAAAGTGACGCCCTGGCTGACATCAGGACCAGATGCACTGATCAACTACTCCGTCCCCTATTGCTGACCAATCAGTAGAGACCATGACCCTGACTCCGTTCATCACCATGATTAATGATCTTCCCCTATACAATCCGTCCCTTGGAAGCCATCTGGAGCCAGGTCTTTCAGCATTAGCTCCCCTGTCCGTGGGCCACTTCCTGAAATAAACCCTTCCTTTCTTTGCTGCAAGCTCATGTTTGTGTCTTATTGGGCTTTGCAGGGAAACAGACCCCTATAGTCTGGTAATGACAGTAACTCGAAGGCAGGAGGAGAAATAAAGATCTCAATGCAGGTAAATACATGGGCAATTATAAAAGCTAGTGTCATTATAACAATAATTTCAAACTGTACTTTTTGTTTTCTACATGGTAAGTGACTAACATTTAAAGAAAAAAAAAAACCCACCATTATTAGGGGAAAAGCTAGTATTGTTATAACTCAGTGCCATTGCCCTAAACTCCCAGAGGCCTTCACGACAACCAAAGGGGTTGTCAGTTTACTCTTTTACTGAAGAACATTCTTCACTAACTAATCCCTAAGTAATCGCTAACCCTGGGGTAATAACTAACCCTTGAGTAATCCTGGGCGGCACCAGGGATAATCTATTGAAAACATCTTGACCTTTGGATGTCTGGGAAACTGAGTAACAGGTAATTAACTAACTGCTAAATTCCGCTTCTGTAACATGCTTGCTTACACGTAGCAACCCCCTTACAAAATCCTATAAAAAGGAGCCATTTTAGCTCTCCGGGGCCGCAGTTACTCCTGTGTGGGACATACTGCAGGCCTGCGGACTTAGCTCAATAAACTCCTTTTATTAAACCCCATCTCGGCGTCTGAGTTTGGTCGATCTCCTGGGTTACAACAGTATTACTGTAACTTTGGTTTCTAAGTCCAAATCTTGTTTTCTACATAATTTAAGAGATGAATATTGTAAAGGACAAACACATGCTATGTGAATGTATAGAAAGATTTTTTTCTTTAGGCAGACCTTACCCCCCGGATTTTAAGAGAATGGCAAGAACTAGCTGCTAGTTACTAGATAACCACTGCATTGTAGAGATAACCATTGCTTTCCGCAGATATCTGCTTCTGTATGTGCTTGCTTGCTCGCAAACCCTTAACCCAAATTCCGTAACAGGGGCTAAGACAACTGTATAAACAATCCTCCCACTGGGGCTAAGCTAACTATATAAGCAGCCCTCCCCCTGAGCTCGGGGCTGCTCTCTCCTCTGCGTAGGATGGGACAGTCGCCGCGCACTGATAAAGCTCTTAATTTGAACCCAGTTCGGAGTCTGAGTCTGGTCTGTCTCGTTGGTCTACAACAATACATTTAAAGAAAGGATTAGTGTATGTTTTTGGGCACACCATGTATAAAGACATAATTTTTGACATCAACAACCAAAAGGGGGGGTGTTGCAGATGTTTGGGAAGAGAATTTTTATTTGTCATTGAAGGTAAACTGGGATAAGTTAAAATTATAGTGTTATAACTTTAGGATGTTAAACGTAATCCCCATGGTAACCAAGAAAATACGTGTAGAATATACACGAAAGGAAATGAGAAAGAAATGTAAACATTTCACTACAAAAAGTCAACTAAACACAAATAAAGACAGTAATGCAGAATATGAGTGACAAAAATGCTGAAAGACATATAGAAAACAAATAGCAGAGCCAGAGATGTAAGTCCCTTTGTATCAGTAATTATTTTCATGTAAATGGATTAAACGTTCCAGGCAAAAGACAGATAAGGTATCGGCAGAATGGGTAAAAACACATGATCCAACTATTTGCTGTCTATAAACGCCTCAAAAGATCCCCATACACAAACAGGTTGAAAATGAAAGGATGGAAAAGATATTTCGTGCAAATAGTAACCAAAAGAGAACAGGGATAGTCATACTAATCAGACAAAATGGACTTTAAATTAAAAAATATTACAAGAGACAAAGAAGTGTGAAAGACATAAAATGTACCTAACAGACCTAGGTCACTGGACCCAGAGATTTGGAGGCAGAATGTTTGGAGTATGAGTTGCTTGTTGCTTGCTTCATTTGATAAGCTGCTACGAGAGAGAAATCAGCTCAAAAGAATATTTGGACAAAAGAACTGTATTGAGAGGGAAAACAGATAGCCCCCAATTTGAGAATTGGCTTCAACATCGCCTTAAGGCAAAGGTCAAATCAAAGTTAGGGCTTTTACGTTTGTGGTAGACAATGGCTAATACAGCCTCATTCACGCCTTTGATAACTCTCTCCCTTTGAGGGTGGGTTCTCAGCTCAACGGCCTGTAAGGAACTGAATCTTGTCAACAACCACGTGAGTGAACTTGAAAAAGGATCCTTCCTCAGTCAAGCCTTCATGTGGGACCACAGCCTGACCAGCACCTTCACCACGGCCTTTTGAGAGACCTCAGAGGCACCCAGCTAAGCCACTCCTGGATTTCTGACCTCCATAAGTATGTGATAATAAATGTTTGTTGCTTTAAGCGCTAATGTTTGGGGTAATTTTTCACTCAGCAATGGAACACCAATACAAGATCTGTCTAAATCCATTTGGTTTCTGTAATAAAACACCAGAGACTGGTGGCGTATAAATAACAGAAACTGAGTTCTCATCGTTCTGGAGGCTGGGAGGTTGGGCTCAGGGTGCCAGGGTGGTCAGGGGAGGGCTCTCTTTTGGGTTGTGGACTTCTTGTTGCATCCTCAAGAAAGGGCTAGGAAACTCTCTGGGGCCTGCTTTATTTTTATTTTTACTTTTTAAAAATAAGTCTTTATAGCTTTGTAGAGAGATAGAAACATTGATGTGAGAGAGATACATCCACTGGCTGCCTCCTGCATGCCCCCTACTGGGAATTGAGCCCCAAACCCGGGCATGTGCCCTGACAGGGAATCGAACCAGGACTTCTCAGTCCGTGGGTCAACACTCAATCCACTGAGCCACACCGGCCAGGCTCTGGGGCCTGTTTTATAAGCACTATTCCCACTCATGGGGGCTCTGCCTTTATGACCTAATCACCTCCCAAAGGCCCCCACTTTCTAGTACCATCATATTGGGCATTATAATTTCAATATGTGAATTTGGGGGTGGGGCAGAAATATTCAGACCATAGCCTTCTGCCCTTGTTACCCCTCAATTCATGTCATTCTGACCTGGGCCCCAAGGCCAAGGCGACTAGATTCCATTCTCACCGAGGCCCCTGACTCCATTTTTATCAGCAGTGGACCTTCCCCAGTATTTTTCCAATAATAAGTTAATTACCCCCAGAAGTAAAGAAACTTTGCCTAAGGTTATAGTTGACCTACGTGTTGGGACGTAACTTGCAGTTTCAGAAACTGAAAATCATGAGACCAGTGAGTAATGCTTATATTGACTTTTGTAATCGCTGTCACACCCACTATTGTATCAGTCCCCTGAGGGGGAGCCAAAAGGGAATGTGGCTTCTGTCTTTAAAGGCAGATGAGCAAGAACAATCGGGGCTGCTGATCTGGAGAGACTATGCCCCCTGCCCCCTGCAGCCCCCCGGGTGAATAAAGCCCTCCTTTCATTTACAGTTCGGCTGTGCGTTCCTGGTTGTCTCGCTGACACTTACAACACTTCTTACATTCATAATACATTCATTTTGTCTCAACAACCCCAAAAGTCTTAACTCATGCCAGCATCGACTCCAAAGTCCAAAGTCTCATCTCAGTATCATCTAAATCAGATATGGGTGAGACTCAACGTGTATCATTCATCCTGAGGCACAGTCCCTCTCCAGCTGTGAACCTATGAAACCAAGTAAGTTACATACTTGTAAAACACAATGGTGGGACAGGCACAGGACAGACATTCCCACTCCAAAAGGAAGAAAGAGGAAGGAAGGATGAGGGGACAGTTCCCAAGCAAGGTGGAAACCTAGCAAGGCAAAATTCAATGGGCTCTCAAGGCTCAAGAATACTCCTCTCTGGCTTCATGTTCTGGCTTCTGGCCCCACTGGGGTGGCAACATCACTTCTACAGCTTGGCAGGGTGCTGCTCATGCCTGTCTCTCTGTTGGGGTTCTACCTACGCCATAGTTCATGACTCCAGGTGGCTTACCTCCATGGTCTCTGTTGGAGGCTGCCTGTTAAAACCTAGGAGGCATGGTCCTGATAATCTCTTAGTTACCTTAGGGCCTTTTTCTTAAAGATTATTATCAAGAACGGCACAAACCCAAAATAGCTCTATGGTATCCTACTGTAAAATCCAAGAAATCTGACAGCCTTCCTTCATTCTGTCCTGTCTCTGTCCCCTTCGGTTCAAACGCAGTTTTCCTGCTGGGGTGGCTGATTAGTTCTGTGGTTCATGCCCACAGTAATCGCCGTGTAAAAGGGTTGGTCTTCCACACCCTACTGTTCTCTTCTGAACACACCTTTTCATTTTCTTGGTAATATGGACAGGCTGAGAATTTTCTAAATCTTTATGATCTGGTTCATTTTTGCTTAACAATTCCTTCTTCAATTCATTTATCACTTCTTGCATTTATTATTATTATTTTTTTTAGAGAGAAAAGTAAGAGAGAGAGAAACTGATGTGAGAGAGAAACATCGACAAGTTGCCCTCCCGTATGCGCCCAGACAGGGTATTGAACGCTCAACCTTTTGGTGTATGGGATGACACTCCAACCATCTGAGCCACCCAGCCCGGGCTCTCATCTTGCACTGTATTATAAGCAGTGAGGAGGAACCATGCCTCTCCTCCAACACTTTCCTTAGAACTCTCTTCAGCTAAATATTCAATTTTATCACTCACAAGTTCTACTTTCCACAAAACACTAGAGCACAAATACACTTCAGCCAAGTTCTCTGCCAGCAGATCACAACGACTGAGTTTTCTCTACTGACCAACAACATGTTCCTCATTTCTGCTTGAGACCCCATCAGAACCACCCTCACCAGTCCCATTTCTACCAACATCCTGCACACGATCCTTCATGTGTTCTCTACAGCTCTCCTCTCTTCTTTCTGAACTTGCACCAGAGTCGCCTTTAAAACCCCTCATGGCAATATCAGCGTTTTCTAGCCTGCACTTCAAAACTCGTCCAGCCTCCACCATCCCCCAGTTCCAAAGCCACGTCCACAGTGTTAAGTATTTGTCACAGCAGCACTGCACTCTCAGTATCAAGAGGGGACTGTCTTGGGCTGTCTTAGTCACCTCCAATAGCATACACTGGGGTGAGGGTTTCAACATTCGTATTTGGCAGGGGGCACAACATTCTGTACATGACACGGCCCGAAGTCCCTATTCCTTCTTCCTCCTGCTCCAGTCTCCTCCATAAGCTCTTACTACCATCTCACCCGTCATATATTTTACTTACTTATCTTTACATTTTATATCCACCAACTAGAATACAAGCTATGAAAGGGAAGGATTTCTGTCTTATTTTGTTCACTGCTCTATCCCTAGAGCATAGAGCTGGTGCCAATATAGCATTGTTAAATAAATGAATAAATGAATGTTGGACTAGCAATCAGGTGATGTATGTTATGTTACCAACTCCCCACTAACAAGTGGTGTGGCTTTTGTGAAATTATTTAATCTCTCTGGATAGTAACTGTTTTCATCTATAAAGTAAGACTATTAAGAAACCATAAGGTTAAACATTCTATGATTTAAAGATATAGTACGTAATCAGAAAAATCACTATTATTGCTATACAATAATTATACAATTGTAAACTTTTTTTTTTTTTGCCTGTTAGTCAAATAAGAGGAGTACCTATTTAGCATATCCATACCATAGGAGAAGTTTTCAGTCATACCTGAGAAGATGACTTGAGAAGGTAAGTCTGAGAGTCATTCGATTCTGAACTGTCAGAGCCTCGGCTACTACAAAAAATAATAAAATATTATTTTAACTTACAGAATGTTTTGGTGTCAGTTTAAAATGACAACTGTTACTTTCACATTTTTACCTTATCGGAATAGTAGAAATCGTTCTAATTATGAGAAGAATGTTTACAAAGGTGGTTTAGATATTTAGTAGTTCTAGGCATCTTAGGGTGTTAGAAGAAAAATGACTGAAATTGATTGGAACACAATAAATATAAACAAATCCGTGAGTTCAAAATGATACTCTCCATCTGCAAATAAACTTATTAGTCACCACTGGAGGTTACAGGGGCACTAACTCAAAGTCTGAACATTTATAAATAAAAGGGAAGAATCAAATATTTATTCTGCCTTTCCTATAGGAACTATACTAAAATTAGTACCTTTTTTCTTCCAACAACATTCCCTTAGTGCTGAATTTTGCACTTATTATTCACTAATTTAAGAGTATTTAATATGTAGCATCTTTCTAAATGTGTCAGTTTTCTGTAGGTAAAGACAGCATTAAAAACAATTTGAGTATGTCTTTCACATACAGTAGGTGCTCATTTGATATTACTTGACTAAATGAATAAATAAAGTCTCGATGAGGTCTGGCCAAAGTAATGTGCATGGGAAAAATTTTCCCCCACCTATAGTCAAGATTTGCAGTTGAGACTGACAATTATATCCTAGAATTATTATAAAGAACACAGTAAAACAGCACACCAAATTACATTATTCCCACCACCTTGACTTACCTAGACTCTAGATCCAATATAATTTCTTTCAGAGAAGTATCTGAATCATCAAGGACTTTTTCCAAGTTTACAGGTTTTTGCATTTCTTCTAATTCTTTTAGGCACCGATAATACTAAGGGGAAATTATACATGAGTTAATTATAAAATGACTTTATTTCATAATTAAATTGAATATTTATAGACACCTAGAACAATAGCTATTGACATCAGCTAGCAAAAAAGCCCTGAACACTGTTAGGATTATTAAAAGGAACAAACGGCCGTGAGCCCCTAGGAAGGTTATGTTACCTGGTAGACTGGAGTGTTAGCGAATGGACTTTGCTTACCTTAGTTCGGTCTGGATCACAATAGTCCAAGAGAGAATCACAAAAATGATATCCCATTGACTCCAGGTCTTTTATGTTGAAATGAGTGCCTCGTTTACTACCTGAAACATCAAGAAGTTAGTCTATCCTTAAGGATGACTTACTTTTTCTTAACAGGTACACCTAAGTTGTAAAACAGAGTATAAACAAAACATCTGATATGATTCCATATCCTATCTCTTGGATTTACTTTTCTGGGGCAGGTCATTTAACAGCGAATTGCTTTCTCTCATTCCCCCTCTACCACGTGGACCAACGATGACTTAACACAGATCAGTCTATGTTGTAAGCCAGAAGAAAACTCAACAAGAAAGTGAAGGAATACTTGGTTACCAGTTATAAACACCCTAACAATCACTTAAAGAAAAACGTGGGTAATGGTTTTAGTGTTTTCATCATCATTAATACTATTATATCAGCTTCAAGGTGCTTTAAAAACTAGCCATAAAGTACAGGTGTGGATGTCTAGCTTTCCTCTGAGTTGATACATTTTTCTAAAAATGTGACAATTATCTTAATATCTCTATATTAAGATAATATTCTAAGGATATGCTAGATGTGACTAGAAGATTTCTTCAATGGAACTACAGAACACTTTTATTTTTAGTTCAAGGAACCAAGAGCTTCTATTAAAATAGAAATTGACCAAAAACAAACAAAACACCAGTCTATTTGCCTTTCAAACAGTAAGTCCACTAAAAAATTCTATCCTGATATTTTAAGTATGAGTACTGCTTTTCTTGAAATCATTAGTCACCTGCAGGAACCCCTTCTAAAAACAAGCAATTAAGAATTAATTTATGAAACAACCAATTAAGTATTCTATCCACATGCTAACACTTCCTATTCTTAACACAGGGAAATGATGAGATGAGGTACAATAGTGGGAGTTTATTCATCCTATTAATAGAATTGATATCAATAGGTATCTGAGTGGGAAGAAAGTGCTATTAAATTGTCTACACTGTTGCACAGCCGGTGTGGCTCAGTGGTTGAGCGTCAACCCATGCACCAAGAGGTCGCCAGTTCAATTCCTGGTCAGGGCACGTGCCCAGGTTGTGGGCTCAAACCCCAGTGGGGGGCATGAAGAAGGCAGCCAATCGATGTTCTCTCTCATCGATGTTTCTCTCTCTCTCCCTCTCCCTTCCTTTCTCTAAAATCAATAAAAGAAAAAAAAATGTCTACTCTATTAGTCTTACATTAAAAATGCCTCTGGTTTAAAGCTCTGAAAGCCATCAATGAGAACACCCTGTCTTACCCAGAGTGGATCCACAAAAAGTGGCCTCCATGGTGAAGCTGTTCCTGATTCCCATTTTCCACATGACCACCCTTCCGGTCCCCTCTTTGCTCTTCTGAACATTAAACTTGCAAGCAGAGAATGAAAACTGGAGAGAAGCAAATGAACAAGACCCGTTGTTTTCATGACAACAATGTCTTTCTTAGGAAGTATGGTTAAAAATGGAAAAGTAGTTGTGCAAAAGCAGTAATTCTCTCTAAAGTTTCAGGAGCTGCTTTTATTTCCTAGTCAATGGAAATGACTCCTTTTAAGAATGACATATTTACATTTCTGAAAACTTTCAGATTTAAATTCCAGCAATAAATTATATATTTTTTTTTATCTCCACACAACATATACATTCAAAACCAGTCGAAAAATTCTTGATATTGTTGGGATAAGATTTTATATATCAAAAAAGTTCTAGAAGGGGCTTAAATATGTTTAGGAATGAAGATTACTGTTATAGATTTTCAGAATAGAATAAAATGCTTAATTTTCATATGAAAGAGCATTTGACAGCTGTCTGAAAAACTGTTGTAACATCGTATCTACAAAACTTTTTAGTTTATTTTTAAATTAACATATAATAAATAAACTTGACTATTACCCTTTGAGACAGCATGGAGGGACCTGGAGATGATTGTGCAAAACAAAATAAGCCAGTCAGGGAAAGACAAATATCACATGATCTCATGTGGAATCTAATGAACAAAATAAACTGATAAATAAAATAAAACCAGAGACATAGAAACATGGAACAGACTGACAAGTCTCAGAGGGAAGGGGCAGGTGCAGGGGGCAGAGATTAACCAAAGAACTTACATGCATTTCCCATGGACACACACAGTAAAGTGGTGAAGGCCTGGGGCTAGGTGGGAACTGGGTAGAGGAGGGCAATGGGGGGAAGGTGGGGGGGGGCATCTGTAATACTCTCAACAATAAAGGTAATTAAATAAAATAAATAAATTTGACTTTTTGTGTTTCATTCTATGAATTTTAACACATGTATATTTGTGTAACCAGTACCATAATCAGGATAGAAAACAATTCCATCACTTCTAATAAACTCCTTTATGCTGTCCCTTTGTAGTCACAAGTATTTCATTTATTTTGGAGCAAAAGTAAATGGTATTGTTTTTACTTTTAGTTTCCAATTGTTCATTGTGAGTATATAGAAATTAATGGGTTTTTGTGGGTTGACCTTGTATACTATAACCTTGCTAAATTCACTTATTAGTTCTAGCAGTATTTTGTGGGTTGCTTTGGATTTTCTCTGAACACAATCATGTCATTTTATTACTTCTTCCTTTCCAATCTCTCTGCCTTTTATTTTTCTTGCCTTATTGCAGTTGTTAGAACCTCCAAAAAAAGGCTGAACTGAAGGGGTAAGAGTGGATATCCTTGCCTTGTTCTTGACCTTAGGAGGAAAATAGGTTTTTGTTTTGTTTTGTTTTTATCATTAAGAACAGTGGTAGGATAATGGGCATTTTCTTCTTCATGTTTCAAATCACTGGCCACTAAACATTCTACGTAGCTGCTTTCTTATGGTCAATTGTAAAACCAGACAAAATAATAAAAACTCAGTTTACTGAATAAGATTATCCATTCTGCTATCTCATGTGGGCACCATTTAGTAAAGGAAAAGTTAAAAGCTTAAAAGGTGCTTACTTTATCTGGACAATTTTTGCTCAGCATGAGTGGAAAGATTCGCTGCTGTAAGTATAACGCTTTACATTTATCGCTACCCCCACAGCCATACATGAAGATGTTCTCTTTCCTGCTATGGCCGTGAAGGTCACAATATAAAATAACCTCTCGCTTCTCCATCAATCTACCAAGAAGAAAAAGAGTAAGTTTAAATATTACCTCTGCATTTTTCTTTTATGGGTATAACTATGGATTTACAAGTCTAATATCCAAGCAATTTCTTACATACTAGCTTTCAATTTCTCTTCTTATCTATACTGTCTATTATTAATATACAATTTTTAAAATGTCTGCAATAATTTCCTATTAACCATATACAAAATACAGATGCCTACCATTAAAAGGACAAAATTTACCTGATTCCCAACACTTTCTCCAACAGGATGGTTCATTATGCTGGCTTTTTTGTTGTGCCCAGAAAACGGTTCACTCCCATCTTTCTCTGTTAGCTCCCACATAGATTCTTTCTGACCGGAATACCTTCTTTCTTCACCTTTGTAAATGCAGATACTACCCCTCACCCCTCAAGACTGATCTCATGTCCCATTTCCTTTCTAACTACTCAAGCCCATAAGTCTTCCTGTTTTTGAACTCCTTAGCACTTAATATTGGTCCACTGACTTGGCACTCGCATAGGAAAGTTTTCACATTTTTTACATTTAATCTTATAAAGGCCAGGGAACACTTCAATCATCTAGAACAGTGCTCTGCTCACAAATACTCAAAATATTTGTTAAAAGTGCCTTATGACTGTGCTGAAGCCAATGAATATTTATTTAGTCCTGGATTAATGCGGTGAGTTAGTAGTATCATTTTGAGAAAAATGGTACAAAATTTGAATTGACTATTTTTCTGGTAAATTTATAATAAATCATTTATGAAAATTATTACATATTCTTCCTTAGCTTATATAATTTAGGCATGCAATAACTATAAAAGCAATAAAAAAATAAGCCCCCTAGACTGATTGATGCTGGCTTTCAAAGGGTAAATAAGTGGTAAAAAAAAAAAAAGGTTGTAGAATTATGGGCATTTTTGCCTTTTTATCACATTTCTAAACTTTATATAACATTATTATATTACTTAAATAATTAAAATTTCATATATTATTTGTCATATCTGCAAGGTTAGGTGATAGTGGGTTTTTTGTTTTTGTTTTGTTTTGTTTTGTTTTTTGGTATATGCCTCTAGCGGGAACTGAACCCAGGACTCTCTGGTCCGCAGACCGACGCTCCAACCGCTGAGCCACACTGGCCAGGGCATCTGCAAGGTTAAATACCAAAATGCTAGTAATGCTTTTTATAGTAATATAAAATATATTATAGTAGTCTCCCCCTTACAGGGGATATATCCCAAGACCCCAGTGTCTGCCTGAAACCTTGGATAATATCAAACCTATATATACTATGTTTTTTCCTAAATACACATACACTTTATAGCTTTTCTTTGGCATATCCAAACTGCAACATCACTACTCTTGAACTTTGTGGACATTATTAAGTAAAATAAGGGTGACTTAAACAGAAGCACTGGATATCAGTCAGCCAATGTGATAATGGGACGGCTACTTAGTGACTAACAGGAGGGTAACACATACAGTGTGGATACGCTGGGCAAAGGGGTAATTCATGTCGCAGATGTTACAAGGAGAGATTTCATCATGCCACTCAGAATGGCGAGCAGTTTAAAACTTCAAATTGTTTATTTCTGGAATTTTTCCATCTGATACTTTCAGACTGCAGCTGACTACGGGTAACAAACTGTGGAAAGTGAAACTGTGGATGGTGGACGAATGTATTTTTATAACAAAAATATTAAAATCTAAAATCAAAACTTTCAAAGCATAACTTCTATTAGAAACAATACTCCTTTAAACTAGAGTGAAATTTCATATTGAAGGCTATTACATGTATTCATTTATTGCCCTTTTCTCATTTGGTGCCCAATAAATTCTAATTGATAACAGATTGACATAAAGTCACTGAATGACACTTCAAGTTTGTAGAAAACTAACAAGATTATGAAGCAAGAATATTACATTAACTCCTTAAATATGAAATATGCTGTATATTTTTAAACCAACATTTTCCCAATTTTAATCGTCTTTTGGTTTCTTGAGAGTCAAAAGAAACCTCTACTTCTATGTAATTAATTCCCAAAGAAATTTTGTTATTTCTAGAATAAAACAGTATCTTAGGGTCTCTCCTCTTATATTAATTTAACAGTTTAGAAATAGTTTGACTATTTTTCTAACTAACAGGTAAGATATTCTAATATCCTACACTAAAATCTACTCTAATTCTCATATTTTTTAACAACTTTTTTCTTTTTTATATTTGAGGAAACACTAAATACATTTAAAGCTTCCAATGTTCCAGATTTTATTCTAGGTACTAAATTTAGTAACAATAATCTCATGTAATCCTTCCATCTATGAGGTAAATATTATTATTCACATTTCATAGATGATAAAAATGAGGTTTAGATTTGTCTGTAAATTACTCAAGGTCACACAGTTAGCCAATGATAGAGCGCGGATTCCAATCTGACATATTTAACTCCAGCTCCACACACTTAACCTAGTCATTTAATGAAAATTGTAAACATTATGTGCATTTTATTGTTCTGAATTCTTTGGAAAATTTAAAGCTGCTCAATTTTTCTAGGTGCAAAATAGGTTGTTATTCATGAAAGTTTTGACTATGTCACCTGTTAACGAAAAGACGCATCCTAGAACAACATATGATCAACCCAGCGCCAGAAGCCTGGACGAGATATAATTAATTTTCCCACATAAGGGAGTCGAGGATCCCAAGGCAAACACCACTGTCTCATTAGCATTAGCAAGGAACCAAATTTGGGATATGCAAATTATTAGTTCCACCGAGCCACTGAAATGTTCTAGAGTCAATATCATTTAATGAAAGGCCGGTGGATCCAAGGGCATAATCCCAGAAAGGTAGAGAAGCAGAGTCAGGAGGAACGGGGGAAAACTGAGTAGCTACAGCTAAACTATCTGAAGAAAGTCTAGAGCAATGCGAGTGGGATTGTGGGGCCAAAATTCTTCCTGCCAAGTTTACTAGCTAAGCAGAGGAAACTCGAGGCTGTTTTACCTATGGATCATGTTCCGGGTATACCAGACAGAAGGGAACGATTCCTTCAGGAGAGACGTGTAGTTGCGGTTTAAATCCCGTCCAGCTAAGGAGCAGCGGTAATTCCCCACGATCACACCGTCGGGGTTCAGCATGGGCACCACCTTGAAGATGAAAGTGTCCCGAAGCAACTGCGCATCATGTGAGCCTCCCAAAATGAAATCTAGGAAGCCTTTCATGATCCAAGAGCTGTTGGTTTCTCCTGGATGCACCCTTGCGGTCAGAATCACCGCCTTGCGCTTTCTGGAGTCGGCGTTCTTCAAGGGGGTGGTGATGGTGAGCACGTACACCATGTTCCTCGCAATCGTGTGGCACAGGACACGTATTTTGCAAAACCTGGACCGCACGGGGTCATTGTTGATGCTCGAAAGGTATGCTTGCAGGTTGGTGTAAGTGTACGGGTAGCAGTGAGCAAAGTAGCAGGTATCTTTGTTGTGTGGAAATTGACATGTCCAGGTGAGAGAGAAATAGTGGCGCCCATCTTGCTGAGGGTTGTTCCTGTAATACTTGATCTGGTCTCCTATTCTCTGCCAGCCAATATTACGAGTCTTGGCCTCTTTTTCAGAATAAAACAGTGGGCGCATACCCCGATTGTAAAGACTAGCAGGTTTGGTGAAATTGATAATAGTGAATCTGTAGACTATCCCTGCTTGGGTATTAGTGACTTGGAAATAGAACCACTGGGTGTGCTTATTTGTGAAGAGGTCAGGGCGCACTGTCAACTGGTATTCATATTCTGCCCTAATACACAAGAAAGGAAGGGGGGAAAAGCACATAAACAGGTGAAAATGACATTCAGTTTTAAATAAGGACAATTATTTCTACCTATTCACAGAAAGCTTTTGGGGTCTGGGGGTGGGGACGATGTTTATTTGGGCGGTATCCAAAATAGCAAGTAATTGCAAAAGATAAAAGTTTTGAAATGTTCTCTTCTTGGATGTGAAACTGCTTCTATGCTTTATTCTAAAACCTTTTTATTACTGTTCAAGAGAGCACATAAAAATGAGATTTGATAAAAATTATATTTTCACTCCAATTATGTTTCCTCTAAAGGAAATGACAGAGTTCTTAAAACTGAATTAAAGTCCAATGTTCCTTTGTTTACTTCAGATATATATTTCTGTTTTCTATTAGATTATAATTCTAGGGATCTGAAATAACTCTCTCTGAGAAATTTAAAAACATGTAAATTAATAAGACCACATAAATTACACAAAATTTTAAACACTTTGAGGACTGGATTTGATTGCTACTTGTATCTTCCAGATTTACTCACTGTGAATACTTATATAAAGGCAAAAATAATTTTACAAAAATTATATTACCTATAATATATACATATATCAAATCTATCTGGTTAGCTGTGACTTTTTTCTTTACCAAGTAACTTTCTATTTCTCAGTACTATGCACTTAGTGTGCGTGTGTGTGTAGTTATAAACAGTGACACAGGAATAGGTGGAATGAATGTTGCAAAACCATGATAGTTATTGAATCTAGGTGATGGGTATATGGTAGTTAATGCAGAATTTCATTATCCCCTGTACTTAAGTACATATTTAAACATCTTCATAATAAAATTTTTTTAAAAGAATGCCCTTGGACAGCATGCACATTCCTAAGCTTATTTTATGGAATATTCATCCCAAGAACTATTCTATTAAAAAATCTGAGAAGCAGTACGTGTGTGTGTGTGTGTGTGTGTGTGTGTGTGTCTGTGTGAGAGAGAATTCACATTGGCATATTGAAAACAGACAGTACAGAAACTTGCTTACTTTAATTCATAGGTCTCAAAATTATTTTAACCTTTCATACCCACCCCCAGGATCTCCAAGTAGCATCTATGCTTTAAGAAATTACAGTTCAGTGATGGATACTAAAATTTTAATGTACAAAATACAAAAAATAATAAAATAATAAATAGCTGATGGTCTAGCTCCTCAAATAAACATAATTAAAACCTACACTTTGACTACCTTCTGTAGATTACCACTCTCAAACCTTGCTTCAAACATCAAAGTGTTGTCACAATTATCCACAGGCTGCTTCTGGGGTGTTCGGTTGCCCCCAACTCGGGAATATACAAAACAAGGTTCTTTGTAAGCTGTTGAGAGAAATAGGCCATAAAAATACCAAGCCATGTGTAAAGTATAGGCTATTCTGTATAAGTGAAGTGACACTGAGAATTTTAATTAGTAAAGTAATTTGATACTAATATACAGATTTATGTTGAAGTAAGAAAATCTAAGAGAATTAAGACAAGAAAAGCAATGCCTAAAATAAATTCATGTTACGCACATTAAGAATATTATTCTGCTTCTGGTTATTATGAAATAACTGATTCTGAACTTGACCTTTCACTATAAATAATTATGAATCTGGACAACACATAGACCAGAACTATATCAGATTCTTGCAAAAAGATAAATACATGAAGTAGTACTGTGTTTAACCCTGGTTTTCTTCCTGTGAATACTTTCTGACTATACCTTAGGAAGGTGGCACTTAAGAATAGTCTTGCCCAGCCAGTGTGTCTCAGTGGACTGAGCATCATCCCATGGACTGAGAGGTGCTGGTTTGATCCCCCGTCAGGGCGTGCAGGAGGCAGCCAATTGATGTTTCTATCTCTCTCTCCCTTCCCCTCTCTCTAAAAAAAAATCAATAAAAAGATATTTTAAAAAAAGAATAGTATAACAATCTTGCTGTGCTGAGGAGGAAAGACTTGCTCAGGGCTGCTGAAATTTGTGAGGCAGGACACTAGAGAGCAGAAAGCTATATACAGGGGAGGGTCTCAGCAGTCTACATGATGTTTCCCCAGTCCTTTCCCGAGGGCTTGGTTGTATAAGCACAGGATAAGACCAAACAAGATAGGAAATAGTGCTACTAGGGGGGATGAGTATATTTCTAGAATATACTGGAATTTCAACATATCCAGAGTGGAAAGATTTCACTAAGCACCTCAGACATTTCATCATGACTCCAGAAAGGCTGCACATTGGGCATAAGAACCACATCTAAGACCTAGTACTGAGGCAAAATGAAAATAAATTTGCCCTACAAAAAAATAAAACCAGCCTGAAAGAAGCAGAATTACCTATCAGCAATTTAGCTGCCTACTAGAAAAAAAATCAATGTAAGTTTTTAAAAGACTATAATATAGACTCCTACAACACATCTTTTACAATGCCCTGCATATGATAAAAAATTTGTGAAGCTTGCTGAGAAGCAGGAAAATGTGATCTATGGTGACACACACACACACACACACACACACACACACACATTCAACAGACCCCAAGATAACTCTGATGGGATTTACAGAGGACTTAGAATATGTGTTAAAAGACTTAAAGAAAAAGATAAAGATAATGAATAAAAAGATTAATCTTAAAAAAATAAATGGAAGCTATAAAAAAGAACCAAATAAAAATTCTAGAAATAAAAAGTACCATCACTGAAATGATTTACTGAATAGGCTCAAAAGAAACATTGAAGATTACAGAAGAAAGACTCTGTGAACTTAAAAACAAAAAACTCAAGGACAAAGAAGGACAAAAAATTAACAAAGATCCAGGGACATGTGGGGCATAGTTAGAAATCCAACATATATGCAATTGGAATTCCAAAGGACAGAAGAGATAAAATAGTATAGAAAACTATGTATAGAAATAACAACTGAAAATTTCTCAAATTGGGAGGAAAAACGCACTCTATTAACCTATGGACCCAATAAGATCAGCAAACTCCCAACAGAATAAATATAGAGACAATCAAATCTAGGTAGAGCATTGATTTGTAGAAACCAGAGGGAGAGAAAAAGACACATTGTATATAGGGAAAAATGATAGAAATTATGGCTGACTTTATTAAAGACAACAGATATCACAAGACATTGGGACAATATCTTTAAAGAAATTAATCTTTGAAATAAAAATTGTCAACCAGAATTCTATATAGCTACAGGTCTAAAAACCCTCTATTGGTTTACCCTTTCAGGCCGAGGAGACATAATGATTCTGCTCTGTTGATAGTCTTATGTTGCTTTGCTATTCCTTGTTAGTCTCCCTTAACTCTGCCCACCCTTTTATAAATTATACTTTCACTGAACTTTAAAAAATTATTCCAAGTATGTCATTCAATTCCTGACAAGACCCTGAGTGACTCATCTCAACTCTTTCAATTTTTTATCAGATCTCATTTAAGTTATGTGTCTAAGTTCTACAACTAGCCATGTAAATATTTGAAAAGTTAGCCATAAAAAGATTTGAAATCAAATTAGAAAAATCAGAGGTGCTTCTCTCACTCCAGTTGTTTAATAATATGTGAGTAAATAATTTCTCGAACTGTTTACTGAATAGGAAACAATCCTGTGAATGTATCTGTTTTGCCAAACCTTTTAATAAAATACATATGTTCCCTGGAAGGTATCTTTAACATATACTGTAAGATACAGAACTCTGGTGGTGAAACTCTGCAGGAGTCCCATACTTCCTCAGGTTGGTGCATAAGGAGTAGTAGTTTAGGATATAGGCTGAGACGTCTATGTTTGATTATTAGCATACTGCATCACAAAGCAGATACGAGATTTTGCATTACTAGACCTTTCAAAGTACAAATATTGATCTCAAGTTTTCTGAGATATAAACTTAGATGTTATTTGCAGTGAGCATGTTTTCCTCTTTTAAAGATGGAAATCCCAAGAACTGCATCAAACTGGCATGAAATGAAAAAAATAACTTCTGAAAGATTGCATGAATATGACCTTTCAATAGAGAGAAACCAATAGCTGCAGAGCACTCCACTAGACTTACCCTTGAAAACTGATATGAAGCATAATTCCTCCTTAAATATAACTCCATTCTAATGGCCAATGTGATGTTTTATTTTAAAGTAACTTTGCATAAACTAAAATACACATTCAAGAATATAATTAGCACTAAATCAACATTCGGATCAATAGGTAACCAAACATTTTTAAGGGGCCTGGGGTTTCCTGGTAATCTGAAATTTCTGCTATATACAGCAAAACAAAAATAGGTAAGAGATTTAGCCCAGGTACCACATTACATTTTTACAGTAACATGGTTCATCATGTACCCACCATCTTCAGCGAGATAAACCACTGCGTCTTCTTTGGAGTTTGCATAAAGGGGTTCTATCTCTAGGCCTGTTGGGATGTACACTGGCTCAGAATGAGGAGGAGTCAAATCTACAAAGAAAAAAAAGAGAACACATTACTTGAATGTGACAAAATTAAAACAGGAAAATTTTATTGTACATTTTTAAATTGTTTATTGGTAGATCTAGGCTAAAATTTCAAGTTTGGTGCAGGGCTAGATTTTACCTAGGATTCATTGGCAGCAATAATGAACATGGGCACACTGTTAACAAAACCCGGAACATTTCCCTTGCATCTTGTCCTAAATTATTATAACAAATAGTTCATAATTATTTGGTGTCATTATCTATTTTATGCTGAAGTTTCTGTTTCTCCTGGACACTTGGTATCTTTCTGACCCACCTCTGGGAATCTTGCTCCACCTTTATTCTCCCTCTCCCTGAATCTTCGGCATCTTGCCGATAATGGTTGTCTCCTATACTTATAAACATGTTCAAGTATCTTCTGTCTCCCCAGAGAAAGGCCATCCTTGGACCCCCACATTCTTCTTTAGCTATATCAGCTTTCCTTTTCTTCATATTTTTAGAACCAAGTTTCTTAAAAGTTGTCTGAGCCATACTCAAATGCATCATCTATTTTTGACCATGATCTATTTGATTGGAAAAAGTTACTTCACAGCCCAACTACTCTAGTTGTTCCCACTTTTTAGTGAAACAAGAACTTGGTGATGACTCATTATCCTCTTTTATTATTGGCTTATGTGTGTCAGACTATGCTTGGTTCTGGTAATCAATATCCTCCTATATAGGGAGACAGCTTCTATGATCCCAAATACAGTTATTGAAACAGAAGAAAAAAATAACTTGGTGGCAATAAACAAACATTTTGGGGATTCTGTATACAACTGCTTTAGCAGCATCACTATATTTGACATAATTAATAGGGGTCAAGTCTAGCTACAGAGAAAGCATAGATTAAAGTATTGATGCCAATATGAATGACTGCATATTGGCAGGTAACTGAACAACACACAGCCAAATAAATTGATAATAAACAATAAAGAAAATTATGCTCTTATTAGTTGAAAAACTTCATTGATTCAAATCAAAATTAATCACAAACTGATAACAGCACAGCTTCCAAAAATTTTGGGAATCTCAGCTATGTGCCTTGGTGTATGCTTATCATCAAAAGATCTGTGACCCAGTGACCCCACTTCTATAAATATACCCTAAGAAGCCTGAAACACCAATCAGAAAGAATATATGTACCCCCATGTTTGTAGCAGCACTATTTACAATAGCTAAGATCTGGAAACAGCCCAAATGTCCATCAGTAGACGAATGGATAAAAAAGCTGTGGTACATATACACAATGGAGTACTATGCAGCTGTAAAGAAAGATCTCTTATCCTTTGAGACTACATGGAGGCACCTGGAAAGTATTATCCTAAGCGAAACAAGCCAAACAGAGAAAGACAAGTATCATATGATCTCACTTATTTGTGGAATATAATGAACATAACAGTCTGAGGAATGGGGTAGTCCCAGAGACGTGGAAGTGGGGTACAGACTGACAATCCCCAGAAAAGGGGGTGGTGGGGGAGAGATAAACCACAGAACTTATATGCATGAACAGTGGACATGGACAACAAAACTGGGGACAGGGAAGGGAGGGAGGGAGAGGGGGGAATCAGCGGGGGGAAAAGGAGAAACATCTGTAACAAAAATAAATAATTAACAATAATAATAATAAAAAGATGGGTGACAGTTAACCATCCCAGTTAAAGAAACATAGACTTCATTAATCTGTTTATATTCTTCTTTTATTGTTTAATAATGAGTAGTCCTTATAATAATATGAAACTGTAATGTTAGAACTGTAATGTACAGAAAGAATCTGTACAATAGGGTCAAGTTTGCAGCTTATCAGAGTACTCTTATGATAACTCTACGTTTAACTTTCTGAAGAAGTGCCAAACTTTTCCAAAGAGGCTGAAGGATTTTAAATTCCCACCCACACAGTATGGGGATTCTGATTTCTCTACATTCTCATCACTTGTTTTCTGGTTTTGACTCCAGTCATCACAGTGGGTTTAATTTGCATTTCCCCGATAACTAAAGATGCTGACTATCTTTTCATGTGTTTATTGGCTATGTTTATCTTCTTTGGAGCATCGTCTATTCAGATCATTTGCACTTTTAAAACTGAGTTGTCTTTTTTAGTGTGAGTTGTAAGAGTTCTATATATTCTAGACATACATCCTTTTTATTGTGAGTTGTAAGAGTTCCATAGAAGTCCTTAATCAGATAAATCGCTTGCAAACATTTTCTCCCATTCTGTGGGTTGTATTCTCACTTTCTTGATTAGTTTTATTTGAAGCACAGCAGTTTTTGATGAAATCTAATGGACCCACTTTTGTTGTTATTGTTGTCTGTGTTGTTGGTGTTATAGCTAAGAATCTATTGTCAAATTCAAGGTCATGAAAATTTACTTCTATGCTTTTTTCTAAGAGCTTGACCCATGAAGTCTTGACACATTTTGGTGTGCTATTTATCCAGTTGTCCCAGCACCATTTGTTGAAAAAACTATTCTTTCCTTATTGAACAGACTTATCACCTTTGTTGAAAATCAGTTGACCACAAACACATGGTTTATTTCTGGACTATCAATTAGAATTATTGATGTATATTCCTGTCTTCATGATAGTACAACACTGTCTTGGTCATTGTTAGTTTATAGTTTTGAAATTGGGTATTGTGAGTCTCAAACTCTTCTTTCTCATGTTTTTTTTTTTGTTTGTTTGTTTTTTCCCGCTATTCTAAATTCCTTGAGTTTCCATATAAATTTTAGGATCAATTTGTCAATTTCTACAAAGCAGATAGTATTCTGATGGAAATCGTATTGAATTGGCAGATTAATATGGGGAGAATTGTTATAACAATTGTAAATTTTCTGATCCACAAACATGGGTGTTTTTAAAATTTATTTAGATTTTAAAATTTTTCTTTCAGTAATGTTTTGTAGTTTGCAGAGTATACGTTTTATACTTTTCTTAAATTTATTCCTACATTATTCTTTTGATGTTAGTGTAAATGAAATTGTTTCTTTAAATTCATTTTAGCATTATTCATTATAAGTGTATAGGAATATAATTGATTTTTAAAATATTGATCTTATATCTTTCAACCTTGCCAAACTCATGTACTAGTTTCGGTAATTTTTAGTGGGTTACTTAGGGTTTTCTATATACAAGATTACGTTTTTGGTGAACAGAAATAGTTTCACTGCTTCTTCTCTAACCTGGATGCTTTTTCTTGCTTAACCACCATGTTGTATAGAAGTGGCAAAAGTGGATATCCTCATCTTGTTTTTGATCCATTCTTTCACTGTTAAGTACATATTAGCTGTGAGATTTCATAGACGGTCTTTATGATATTAAGGATTTTCCCTTCTCTTCCTATTTTTTTTTTTTACATGAAAGGGTGTTGGATTTATACACACACACACATATACAAACTGTTTGATTGTATATATAGGAAATGTCCAGAACAGGGAAATTTAGAGAGACAGAAAGCAGATTGGTAATTTTTTTACTGTGGGAAGAGAGAATGAAGAATTATTGTTTAATAGGTATAGTCTTTTTGTAGGGGACATGAAAATGTTCTGGATTTAAATAGAAGTGATAGTTATACAACACAAAAAAAGTACTAAATACTGCTAAATTGTCCACTTTAAAATGGTTAATTTTATCCAATATATATTTTACCTCAATTAAAAAAAAAGTCAGCCCTGGCCAGTTTGGCTCAGTGGTTAGAGCGTCAGCCTGCAGTCCAGAGAGACCCGGGTTCGGTTCCTGCTAAGGGCACGTACCTCGGTTGCATTGCAGTTTGTCCCCGGCCCTGGTTGGTCGTGCGGGTGGCAGCCACTCAATGTGTCCCTTTCACGTTGATGTTTCTCTCTCTCTCTCTTCCTCTCTCTCCCTCCCACTCTATATGAACAAAAAATGGAAAATTGTCCTCGAGTGATTAAAAAAAAAAGTCAGAAGCTAATCAAACAATAACTTTCTTAAGAACCACATCACATCTAAAATTATAAGTCTTCTGGAAAAACTTTATAAGCAGTAAAATGCTCTACAGATGTTGGCCACATGTATGTCAACTGTGACATGTCACTAACAAGCACACCACTATGACACATACATCATTTATGACATGCATGTTACTACTGCCACTTATGTCACATAGCACGTATATCAATTCTGAGGTAGATTGTGACACTTTGGTTTCACCACATTTGTCCACTGTGACAAAGTGTTAATTTTGACACACACATCGAAACTGACCTATCAATTTTGACACATTTTTATTTTTTATTAATTTATTTTGTTACAAATGTTTCTCCTTTTTCCCCCATCGACACCGTCTTCCCCATCCCTCCCCGCCCCGTTTCCAGCTTTGTTGGCCATGTCCATTGGTTATGCGTACATGCATATAAGTTCTGTGGTTTATCTCTCCCCAACTCTACCCTCTCTTCTGAGGATTGTCAGAATTGAATTTGACAGGTGTGTCAATACTGCCATGTGTTGATTTTGATGCATGCGTTTATTCTGACACACTGACCACTCTGACATGTGCATTGATTCTGACATGCACACTGATTCTGACACACGTCAATTTAGACACGTGTTCACTGACATGCACATTCATTCTGACACATCAAAATCAACACATCAATTTCGACATCTTGATGTGACACATCTGTTCATTCTGACACATGTCAATCTTGACACATACATCGATTCTGACACAAGGGTGGATTTTTATTTAACATGTGTTTATTCTGACATGTGTTTTGATTCTGGCATATGCTGATTTTGACACACATGCTGAGTTTTATACACATCAATGCTGACACATTGATTTTGACACACATGTCAGTTGTTGAGTTGTATGTCGTATGTGGCAATCCAGCTTTGCTGGCAGATGTCCATGATCTCTCAGCTGCAGCAGTTTCCAGAAGTTAGTAGAGTTCCTGCCATTAATTTCACATGGCTGGCTCATGAAAACTGAGAGAGCAGGGGTCCTGTC